CCACTGGGGATTCAAACCGCTGAACTGCCGATCTTTCGATCGAGAAGCTCAGTGTCCTAGCCACTGAGCCACCGCGTCCCTTGGGATACTTAATGATAGACTTATGTTTGTCAACTTTGTCAACTTTAAGATGTGTGGACTTCAACTCCCAGAATTCCCCAACCAGCAATACTAACAGATTAAAAGAATGATAAGAGTTGGAAGGGACCTCGGAGGTCTTACAGTCCAACTCCCTGCTCAAGCAGGAAACCCTATACTCTTGATGACGAACCTATGGCACGCGTGCCACAGGTGGCACACGGAGTCATATCTGTGGGCACGTGAGCATTGCCCTAGCTCAGCTCCAACGTGCATGCGTATGCCGGCCATCTGATTTTTGGGCCTTCTGAGGCCACCGGAAGTTGGAAACGGGCTGTTTCCGGCTGCTGGAAAGGCTCTGGGAGAGGGGTGGGGAAGGCCGTTTCACCCTCCTTGGGCTCCAAGAAAGCCTCTGGAGCCTGGGGAGGGCGAAAAACGGGCCCACTGGTAACCTTTTTGCTGTCGTGTGCCAAAAGCGGGGAGAGAGCAGGGGGGCCATGTGCACGGGGGGGGGGGGGGGGGGGGGGGGGCATTAAATTATGGGTGTTGCCACATGTGCCCGCGACCCACCCCCACACTCCCCCACTTTTGGCATGCGACGGCAAAAAGGCTAGCCATCATTGCCCTATAACATTTCAGAAAAATAGTTGTCCAATCTCTTCTTAAAAATCTCTGGTGATGAAGCACCCACAACTCCTGGTGGCAAGCTGTTCCACTGGTTAATTCTTCTAACTATCAAAAAATTTCTCCTCAGTTCTAGGTTGCTTCTCTCCTTGATCAGTTTCCAACCGTTGTTTCTTGTCCTGCCCTCAGGTGCTTTGGAGAATAGGTTGACTCCCTCTTCTTTGGGGCAGCCCCTGAGATACTGGAACACTGCTATCGCGTCAGGCCTGGTCCTTCTTTTCATTAAACTTAAAAAGACCGCAGTGAGATGTTTCTCAACCTTAGCAATTTTTAGATATGTGGGCTTCTGCTTCCAAAATTGGGAGTCGGCTGGCTGGGAAATTTCTGGGAGTTGAAGTCCACATACCTTAAAGTTGCTAAGGTTGAAAAACTCTGTCCTAGACACAACCATCATTGCATTTGGCCAGCCCTGGGGAAGGGCGAATCATTAGATATATGGCACTCTTTTCAGCTGTAAGCTGTGAATAGACATGTGCATGCAACATTACAATGATATATGCTTTTTGAGCCTCTTAGCACATAATGTGCCCAAAGGCTGCTTGTACCAATGCAGTTAAACTAATCCTTCTGGGTGTCTACTATTTCTTTTCAGTTCGTATCCTGTTGATATTCTTATTTTCTGTTTATTTTTTCCCCTTGGAGGGGCTGGAAGGAGCACATTTTATTCCACAGCACGTCTGGCTTTACCTGTTACACTCAGGAACAGGCACCATGTACCTTTACAGGTTTACATCAGGGGTGAAATCCAGCAGGTTCTGACAGGTTCTGGAGAACCAGCAGTGGAAATTTTGGGAAGTTCAGAGAACCGGCAAATACTACCTCTGACGGGCCCCAGAGTGGGGTGAGAATGGAGATTTTGCAATATCTTTCCCCCAGGAGTGGAGAGGGAATGGGGATTTTGCAGTATCCTTCCCCCGGAGTGGGGAGGGGAATGAAGATTTTGCAATATCCTTCCCCCAGAGAGGGGTGGGAATGGAGATTTTGCAATATCTTTTCCCCACGAGTGGGGAGGGAATGGGGATTTTGCAGTATCCTTCCCCTGGAGTAGGGTGGGAATGGAGATTTTGCAGCATCCTTCCCCTGCCACGCCCACCAAGCCACGCCCACAGAATCGGTAGTAAAATAATTTGAATTCCACCAGTGGTTTACATGCAGTAGGAATCCAAGCGCTTCAGTTCACAAGCCACGATTCGCAGCTTGGCATTGTGCATGAACCTCAAGCATTGTGGTTTTGTAAGGCGTTGATTTTGGCTTCAGGTGTTCCATGAAGAGAGCCCAGCCGTCGGAGTTTATAACCAGGATTTCTGGCTTAATTGTGTCTAATCATGGGATCGGTGAGCCGTGGCTTCTATGTGGGTTGAACCAGTTGGTTAAACAATTACTAATCTATTAAGAAAGAAGAAACAGACTCTCACTGGTGTATTTAAAGATGCTAGTTAGGGACAGTTTTAATAAAGAATTAAAAGAGCTTTCAGCTGGATGGAATAATTTGGGCATAAATTTGTTCAAAACTGAACAGAGCTGTAAATCTGAGTTTAACTTTCAGGTGGAGCCTAGGTGGAGAATGTGGGGGGGCATCCAAGCATAACAAGGATTTCCCCAAGTTGTGAACACACAAACTCTGATCAGAAGGATGGTGTGCCTGAATCTTAGGCTTGTCAGCTGCCAGCCGCAACAGATTGAAAAAGCAGAACTTTTGCAGAGTCCTAAATCCGGATCGCAGTTCAAAAGAAACGGAAAGCAGATTGTTTTTTTTTTAAGTTCCTTATTCATTATTTATTTAAAATAAGGCTGTCCAACCTTGGCAAAATGTCTGTGGAGATTCTCAGTCCACCAGGTCACGGCTGTCCCAAAACTCCTTTTTCAAAAGGCAACTGGACTTTTCTTTGCTGTCCTTGAAGACGTTTCGCTTCTCATCTAGAACTGGAGAAGCTCCTTGGATGAGAAGTGAAACGTCTTCAAGGAAAAGAAGAAAAAAAAAAGGCCAATTGCCTTGTGAAAAATCACCTTTGGGACAACTTTAAGATGTGTGGACTTCAACTCTCAGAATTTCCCCAACTTGGCCTGTGTTGCTGGTAATAACAAATTTGTCTAGCACCGTATAGATCCGTGATGGCAAACCTATGGCACGCGTGCCACAGGTGGCACGCGGAGCCATATCTGTGGACACGCAAGCGTTGCCCTAGCTCAGCTCCAGTGTGCATGCATGTGCCGGCCAGCTGATTTTCGGGTCTTCCGGTCCCACTGGGAATCGGGAAATGAGTTGTTTCCGGCCTCCGGAGGACCTCGCGGGGGGGGGGGGGGGGGAGGCAGTTTTCACCCTCCCCAGCTTCAAGGAAGCCTCTGGAGCCTAGCGAGGGTGAAAAACGGGCCCACTGGTCCATTGCGTGCCAAAAGCGAGGGTTGCGAAGGAGGGCCGCGCACGCATACGCGGGGAGCGGAGCGCATTGAATTATGGGTATGGGCACACACACACATGACCCCTGCTTTTGGCACGCGACGGCAAAAAGGTTAGCCATCCCTGGTTTAGATAATCTAGTAGTTATAGAGTTGGAATTATAAAGATAACCCTGTTGAGCAATTAAAGTTTCATGGAATACAGCAGATACAAAACCACAGCATAATTTGCCAGATTTAAATATGTTGAAATGTTCCTAGAAGGCCTTGTGTTATGATGAAGATATCCTATTCCAGGGAAGGCTAACCTTTTCCTGACTGAGCGCCCCCAAAATGCAATGCGCCCCACCACCTGCGCATGTGCGCTTGGGCTCCTGCATGTGTCCCCCCCGCGCTGCCCCACGTATGCGCCCTGCCCTACACATGTACGAGTGACACCCCACAGGCGCATGAGCCCCCGTGCACGGCCCACACATGTGCACACGATCCCCACATGTGCCCCACCCACTGTGCATGCACGCGCAACACCCCTGCATGTGCCCCGCCCCGTGCATGTATGCGCAATCCCCTCATGTGCCTCCCCACCATGCATGCGCACGCCCCTCTGTGTGCACCCCGTCCCCCCTCGCATGCGCGGCAGAGACCCATAGACCAGCTGGCTGGTGGGAAACGCGCACGCATGCACGGCAGAGCTAAGCTGTGGCGACGGCTCGCGTGCCCACAGAGAGGGTGTTGTGTGCCACCTCTGACACACTTGCCATAGGTTTGCCATTACGATCTTATTCTGTCAAATAAATTGAATAAATTTAATTAATAAATTTGTTTAATTTTTGTTTAAAATTGTTTAATAAATGCACATTTAGGCAAAAAAACAGCTTTGACTTCAAATGCTTTAAAGCAGGTACGGAAAACTTCCCTGACTCACAGGTTTCGAGAGTATGTTGTGGGAGCTTTCACAAAATGGCTTCCCTGGGAGTGGCCATTTTCCGAGGGGCTCTAAAACAGGTAGGCCTCGACTCATGGCCACAATTGAGCCCACAATTTTCATTGCTAAGCAAGGCAGTCGTTAAGTGAGTTTTGCCCCATTTTATGACCTTTCTCTCTTCAGCTATTAAGTGAACCACTGCAGTTGTTAAGTTAGCAACGTGGTTCTTAAGTGAATCAGACCCCAGGGCACTGCAGCCGTCATTAATGTGAGTCAGTTGCCAAGGGACGGAATTTTGATCATGTGACCATGGGGATGTTGCAACGGTCGTAAGTGTGAAAAATGGTCAAAAGTCACTTTTTTCAGTGCCGTTGTAAAACTTCAAACCGTCATTAAAACAACGGTTGTAAATCAGTTGCGCCTGTACACAATTTCCAAGTACAGCCACTGGCTCAAAAAAAATTTCCAGCCTCCGGACTCACAAATCCTCTTAAGCAGACCAAAAATTAAGGCTGCCACCGAAGGGAAAAACAAAATATACACAGTGTTCTTAACTTTACTACCTCATCAATGGAAGGAATGTTTACATTGCAGTTCCTAGAGATGGCTGAAGATGTAATCTTTCTTTTTTCTTTTTTCTTTTTTAGACAATTTCAGTTCGCTGGTTTTGTCCGGCTTAAGAGAAATGTTCCTAATTTTATGGCTTGTTGCTGTTTTGAAAACACAGGTTTACTTTTTCCTGATTTGACGTGGAGCCGAGTTTACTCACCGCCTTGACATGTTTGTGTGGGTCAAATATTGCTCCACGAGTGCTCAGCTGAGCCAACACCTTTGCATCGGCCTAATTAAAATAGGAGTAATTTTCTAACTCTTGTTTTCCTTTTTTTTTTTCCTCTCCCCCCTTCCCTTCCTCCAGGAATGCCGTTGGCTCAGGCTGTAGCAATTGTTCAGAAATACTGCCGTATCATAAAAAATATCCAGGTTCTCTACAGTGAACAAGTAAGTTTGGCTTCAGCTTTCTGGCTTTGGCTTTTGGTGTTTATTGCACACTCCGCAAGCACAAGAGGAAGGCGTGTCAATGTTGCGTGATGCTATTGTGTGTGTGTGTTGGTCCATATAATGTCTAAACATTCTTGGCTGTTGCCACATCCTGAGGAATGTGGTTTTAAAAAACACGGTGGCTTTAGTTTAGTTTAGTTTATTGTCATCGCACACGGTACAACGAAATTAAATGCCGTCTTCACTGTACATTATAACTATAAAAATAAAAACGCAAACATACATCCTTTACATTCTATATCAGGGATGGCTAACCTTTATGCCGTTGCGTGCCAAAAGTGGGGGTCATGCGTGCGTGTGCCCATACCCATAATTCAATGCGTTCCGCTCCCCGCATATGCTCCCCCTATGCGACCCTCGCTTTTGGCACGCAATTTCCCGGTGGGCCCATTTTTCATCCTCCCCAGGCTCCAGAGGCTTCCTTGGAGCCTGGGGAGGGTGAAAACTGCCTTCCCTACCCCCCCCCCAGGCCATCCGGAAGCCGGAAACAGCTCGTTTCCCGACTCCCGGTGGAACCAGAAGGCCGGAAAATCAGCTGGCCGGCGCACACATGGACGCTGGAGCTGAGCTAGGGCAACACTTGCGTGCCCACAGATATGGCTCCGCGTGCCACCTGTGGCACGCGTGCCATAGGTTCGCCATCACGGTTCTATATAATTGAAATTGAAAACCCGATATTGCACTGTACCGTAGAATTCAGTATGGTTACTGCCCTGGGATAGAAGCTGTTTTTCAGCCTGTTTGTCCTTGTTTTTATTATCCTGTACCGTCTTCCAGATGGTAATAGTTCAAAAAAGGGTGCCCAAGATGAGATGGATCTTTAAGAATGTTTTAAACCTTTCACATAGTGTCAGGTGTGCATAAATGCAGATATCGTTAGTTTTAATCAAGAGTATTTACACCATGCCATGCCACTCCAAGGGACCGGTGACATATTTAGCTTTTTAAAATCAGAAAATGTATTGGATTCAGGAAGCGGAATTGAATCAGTTTCTTTGATTTGTATCCTTGATTTCATTTGGAAATAAGAGAGTCGTGCACATCTCAAAACAATTTAGTAATTCGGTTGCATCCAATCCCTGAATTTCCCAGTTAGATCTCTGGAACAGATTGTTAACCAAAAAGATGGTTAAATTTTTTGGATTGGGGGAAAAAAAAAAGACATTTAACAGCTTCAGAGAATCCCTTGTTCAAGAGATTGTAATGGATTTTCACAGATACTGTGCTCCTATCTTGTATTTAGTTTTGCATCAGGGATCGAATCTAATCAAAACCAATGAATTCTCCTGTAAAAGCAGAAGAACTAAAAGCAGAATTTAAGACATATTGACGCTTTAAAGAAACAACTGTTAATACATGATTAAAATCTCATTCTAGTTGCTGGCAGCCCTGTTTTCAGATTCACACTTCGCAGTCTAATATCACAATGCTTCCATTCATCCAGACTGAAATGTGCTTTTGTTTTGCACGCTGTTATATTTTTTGTTAAGGAAAGGAGGGGAGGATTTTAAAAAAGAAAAAAACCTAGGAATCATTGATTCCCTTGTGACATGGATTTTGCTTCCTTGGAAAGAAAGAAATGGAAAAGAGCTTATATTCTTAGCCATAAATAGTCATAATTTTTGTCAGGGCTCAGTATCTGGCTGATTTTGTCCTCAGATGCATACCGTTATTAACATGCCTTTTGTAACTTTTAATATATATTGCCCTGTTTATTCTCTCTTTATCAATATTATTTTCCTTTATTCCACTTCACACAGATAGATAGCTGTTTAATCAACAATGTCTGTCCATAGCTGTTAATGTGAAAAACTGATAAGGACGTTTATCACACATAGCCAGTTTCTTTCACGGGAGAATTCTGCAAATGGGTTCCCCGTTACTCAGCTGCCTTCCAATCTGACTGTTGCCTAGTCTATGGACAGATAAAAGTGTAGCCCTAGTGCGGGTGTCAGCAACCTGCGGCTCCAGAGCTGCATGCGGCTCTTTAGGCCCTCTGCTGCAGTGCCTGTCCCATCACTGGCTGGCTCCGCCCCTCCCCTCCCCTCCCCTCCCCTCCCAGTCACTCCTCGCCTGGCCTTGGAATACAGATATAGAGAGAGAGGGGAGAGGGGGAGAAGGAGAGAAAGAGACATAGATACAGAGAGAGAGCAGAGGAGAGAGAGATACAGAGAGGGGGGAGAGAGGGGAAGAGACACAGAGAGGGGAGAGGGGGAGAAGGAAAGAAAGCGACATAGATACAGAGAGAGGGGAGGAGAGAGAGATACAGAGAGAGGGGGGAGAGACAGAAAGATACAGAGAGAGAGGGGAGAGGGGGAGAAGGAGAGAAAAAGACATACAGAGAGAGGGGAGGAGAGAGAGAGATACAGAGAGGGAGGGGAGAGACAGAAAGAGATACCGAGAGAGAGGGAGAAAGAGAGAAAAGGATGGTTCCCGGTGTTTTTTTTCCCCTGTGGGAAACAGGTCCAAATGGCTCTTTGAGTGTTTAAGGTTGCAGACCCCTGCCCTAATGCCTCTTATTTGACTATTGCTTAGACTACGGCTCTTTGTTCTACCTCTGATTGTTATCCCTTCCTCCTTTTTCATGTTGGGACAAACGATATAACAAAGACCCTGAAATCATTGAGAGGGCAGGACAAGAATTAAGCTTAATTCTAAGACAGATCCAACACAGAACTTAAGGAGAAATTTCCAGACAGCGAGAACATGTTGTGGCTGCTCCATCACTGGAAGGTTTCAAAAAATAGCGTCAGCTCTGATTTTAATACCAGCCCTGCCCCAACTTGGCCTTCTAGGAAAGTAGGACTCTCGACTCCATGTGTAAGTGAAAAGAAATACTTTTATGAAAAGCCAAGTGGTTACAGTAGATCAAAGCCAGAACTGAGGTTTTGTGTGCGAATGCTTCCCCGTTAACTTTCCCTTTCTAATTCCACCCCTCTGCTATCTCCCGTATGTCCAGGCACATTCAAAGAAATTGTTTTGGTAACAGTCCCTGCAAAGTCAGGCTAAATCTTGAGCCCTTATATTCCATTTCCCAGGTCCGGGACCTTGAGATGTTGAGTCGATGTCTCAGGAAGGCATTAAGTTTACTTTCGGTTTCCCCACTTCCTTCCCTCTGTAGTTTATGGCGTGCTGACATGTAGCGAAGCAGGGCTGAAGGGAAGGATGACAGTTCTGACAAATACACTGGTCAACCCCTTGACCGGGATGGTATAAGATGTCCTGCTTTAAGCAGTGGGTTGGACTAGAAGACCTCCGAGGTCCCTTCCAGCCCTGTGATTCTATGTTCTAGTTTAGTTTAGTTTAGTTTTATTAAATTTGTATACCGCCCTACTCCCGAAGGACTCAGGGCGGTGAACAGGCACAAGATAAAATACAGAAATACAAAAGTTAAAAACAATTTAAAACCAAATTAAATAATTTAGCCCACGACAATTAAAATCCCAATAAATTTAAAACAAATTAAAATTTCAATTTAAAATTTAAAAGAAAGGGGAGAAAAATTAGGCCAGGCCGGCTTGCTGGAATAAGAGGGTCTTAAAGAGCACGGCGGAAAGTGCGCAGATCCAGGATCCTCCATATCTCCGGGGGGAGCTCGTTCCAGATAGTGGGTGCCTATATCCCCCCCCAAAGGTTATTCCCCCATTCCATCACAGCCCTGATGCCATACCCAGCCCTGCCTTGATCTAAGTCTGTGTCATGGGGATTTTTGCTGAGAGAGAATTGGGTACAGACCAAGCACTAGGCAGACGGATTTTCCCGTGCAAAGGACACCCTATATCCATCATGGCGAACCTATGGCACGCGTGCCACAGGTGGCACGCGGAGCCATATCTGTGGGCACACAAATGTTGCCCTAGCTCAGCTCCAGCGTGCATGCGCATGCCAGCCAGCTGATTTTCGGGCCTTCTGGGCCCACCGGAAGTCGGGAAACAGGCTGTTTCCATCCTCCAGAGGGCCTCTGGGGGTGGGAAAGGCCGTTTTCGCCGTCCTAGAAAGCCTCTGGAGCCTGGGGAGGGTGAAAAAGGGGTCTACCTGGCCCACAGTGCCATTGCGTACCAAAAGCAGAGGGAGTGCAGGTGGGGTAGTGCGCGCATGCACAGTGGGGGTGGGGCACATAGAATTATGGGTGTGGGCACGTGCGTGTGTGACCCCCACCCCCGTGTTTCCCCCCCCCCTTTTGGCACTCGATGGCAAAAAGGTTAGCCATCACTGCCCTATATAAATAATAGCAACATCTTGTTTATATAGTTTGACTAGACGTTTCTATAGCTGTTCTAACAAATGCTTCCAATATTTGCGCTCCTTGGTATTCTCATATTGGCGTGTTTTTGTCCACCGGGCCAACTTTAAGATGTTTGGACATCAACTCCCAGAATTCCCCAGCCGGTACATTGGCTGAGGAATTCTGGGAATTGAAGTCTACGCATCTTAAAGTTGACTTAAGTTGAGAAACACTGGTCTTTGGGACAGCAGCTGTTCTGCTTTGCTTTTGAGAAAGGAAAAGGTTAACTCTGTTGTGATTGTGTTCCATTTTACAAGATTTGGGAGACTATAAATTAAAATAAATAAAATAAAATAAAATAAAATAAAATAAAATAAATAAATAAATAAATAAATAAATAAATAAATAAATAAATAAAAAGAAGAGTGTTTAAGGCTTGCATGGAGGCAGTTGTATTTGCAAACATCTGAAAAGCTACTGCTTTTGCACTGCTCAGGAAATTTCATTCTAAATTTTGAAATTTCCTGAGCAGCGTAAGCAGTAACTTTGAAGGTGCTGTTCAGATGTTTGCAAATCCTTCAGGGTAGGAAAGAAGAAATTTAAGTCCAAAGTCCCTGCGCGCATTTATATCCCTTGCTAATTCTTTTAAGCTTAGCTTTTCTCAGTTGAGGAGGTCAAAAGCCATTGCATTAAAAAAAACAACAATACAGTGTAAAACAGCTGGCTTCTGGAAATGAGCTTAGAAATCTGCTTGCAACCAGCTGTGCAATTCTTAACTTCTTGTGAGAAGCAGAAATTTCTTCAAAGTGACAGATGGAATGGGAAACTACAAGGTAGACAAAACCTATTATTTGCCCAAGGCAGCTTGCCCAAGAGTTGTAGGAAGTTGTTACGGAATTCGCAGAGTAACCCTTGAGTAGCAAGAGTTTGTTCATGAAAGCGATTGAGAGTCGTTACGAAGAAACGCAGTCAACACACAGATACACTGAGTTGTGTTTACTTTCAGGAAATAATAAGGCACAGTCCAATAAACAGTCTAGGTCATACACATATAAAGCAGGAGGTAGCAAAACGACAGTCCAGGGATAATCCAATAACAAAGTCTTCTTACCAGTCGTCATAGTCATTCACAATAAACAGTTCTTCTGGATTTGCAAACAGTAGTATACAGAGATATCAGAGAGCAAGAACAGCAAAGAGAAACAAACCATGTTTCTAGCTCCCTCTTAAGGAGATTGGCTACAGAGCTAACCAATCAGGACACTGTATGATGCAATACAGCAGTCTTAAAGCTATATTGAGGGTTTATATATTGCCAACCCAACAAGGTAGGTAATACTCATTTCCTAACAGAAGTGATTCCAGAAATGGGAGCTAATCTATTTTAGGAGTCATGAGTGATTGACCGTTTCTGACCATCATGTGTCTGGACTCGATCCTTTGAAGACAGGTAGGCCTTGACTCACAACCATTAATTTAGTGGCCTTTCCAAGTTATAATAGGACTGAAAAAGAGTGACTTATAGCAATAGCAACGGCATTTAGACTTACATGTGGATGGATGGATGGATAGATGGAAGGAAGGAAGGAAGGCGGGCGGGCAGGCAGGGCAGTAGCAGTAGCACTTATATACCGCTTCACAGTGCTTTACAATTCTCTCTAAGCCTGTGATGGCGAACCTGTGGCATGTGTGCCACAGGTGGCACGTGGAGCCATATTGGTGGGTACACGAACGTTGCCCTAGCTCATCTCTGGTGCGCGCATCTGATTTTTGGGCCTTCCGGGCCCACCGAAAGTCGACAAATGGGCTGTTTCCGGCTCCAGAGGGCCTCCGAGCGTGTGGGGAGGGCTGTTTTCGCCCTCCCCAGGTTCTAAGAAAGCCTCTGGAGCCTGGGGAGGGCGAAAAATGGGCCTACCAGGCCCACCATGCCATTGGGTGGCAAAAGTGGGGGTCGCACGGGTGGGGTAACGCGCACATGCGTGGGGGGATACATTGAATTATGGGTATGGGCACACGCGCACACAACACCCTCCCCCCCGGCGCTCCCCCTGCTTTTGGCACGCAACGGCAAAAAGGTTAGCCATCACTGCTCTAAGTGGTTTACAGAGTCAGCCTCTTGCCCCCAACAATCTGGGTCTTCATTTTACCCACCTCGGAAGGATGGAAGGCTGAGTCAACCTTGAACCGGTCAGGATCGAATTGCTAGCAGTGGGCAGAGTTAGCCGCAATGCTGCATTCTAACCACCATGCCACCAAGGTTCAATAAATAGACAGGCAGTTCAGCGGTTCGAATCCCTAGTGCTGCATAATGGGTGAGCTCCCGTGACTTTTCCCAGCTTCCGCCAACCTAGCAGTTCGAAAGCAGGTAAAAAATGCGAGTAGGAAAATAGGGACCACCTTTGGTGGGAAGGGAACAGCGTTCCGTGCGCCTTTGGCGTTGAGTCATGCCGGCCACACGACCACGGAGATGTCTTCGGACAGCGCTGACTCTTCGGCTTTGAAACGGAGATGAGCACCGCCCTCTAGAGTCGGGAACGACTAGCACATATGTGCGAGGGGAACTTTTACCTTTACCTTTACATTCTTGCCACCATTGCAACATCCCCAAAGTGGCGTGAACAAAACTTGGGTGCTTGGCAACCAGGATGTATTTATGACTGGTTGCAGCATGATCACATGATCACCATTTAAGACCTTCCCAGCTGGCTTCCGACTCGCAAAGTCAATGGGGGAAGCCGGTTTCGCTTAATGACCGCCTGATTCACTTAACAACTGCCCCGAATCGCGTAACAACCGTGGCGAAAAAGGGTCGTACAATGGGGTGCAACTGACCGAACGACTTCTTGCTTAGCAATGGGAATTGTGATCCCAGTTGTGCTTGCGGACTTACCTGTATCTCAGGAGGGCATCCGTTTGGGAATGGCTGCTGTAAACATTCTCTCCATTGGAAACGGCACCTTACTTTGGCAGTGACCTGACAGTTTTGTTCCTGTGACATCATTTCCCCTGCAAACCCTCTGGAACCGGTGTTCCCATTTTCATGCAATTAACATGCATGTGTCAATCCTCCATTCCTCAATCTGTTGGCCTTCGGAAGCTGAGAAGGAGTTTGATAAAATTATCCCCTCTCGTTCTAATTGGCCATGGAACACGCAAGGATGATTTATTATTAACCGTAATAATAAGAATTGGGGGGGGGTTTCCTTGGTGCTGTCTGAGTTTGTTCGTTTTCTTGAAGACGTTTCATGACCCAACTAGTTAACATCATCAGTGGCTAGAAGAGAGGGGTGATTGCAGAGGGGAGGGGGAGGAGGAGGAAGACTATGGGGTCCTTGGTGCTCTCTGAGCTTTCTTGTTTTCTTGAAAACATTTCATGACCCAACTAGTTAACATCATCAGTGCTAGAAGAGAGGGATGATTGCAGAGGGGAGGAAGAGGAGGAGGAGGAGGAAGATTGTGTGGTCCTTGGTGCTCTCTGAGCTTTCTTGTTTCTTGAAGACGTTTCATGACCCAACTAGTTAACATCATCAGTGCTACTGCTGTTGTTAGCTAATTTGGGTCATGAAACATCCTCAATAAAACCACCAAGCTCAAGAGAATACCAAAGGACCTCTCGTGTCAACCCTGAGCTACAAATATTCTCCTTTATTAATAATAAGGGTGGATTTAAAATCTGAAACGGAATCCCACAGTTGATGCGAAGGAGCAGAATTCTAGCTTTTTATTTCTCAAAGCAATCGTTGCAGCTGGGCCGAACGGTGTCTCTCTGGTGATGTACTTCGGTTGTTCCTTTCTCAGCCAGAAACACGAGATTTGGCCGTTATTCCTGCGAAAGCAGATTTTAAACCTCATCCGAGTCTTGCCCCAGGCGCCTCTATATTTCATTGCAATCATATGAAGAAAAGAAACTTGGCAACTGCATGTTTTGGCCAACGCTGGTTTTTCTGGCGGCCTCCGGCAAACATGCAACCTTTCCTGGCGCCAACGGAGAGAAACCGTTGCCACGGTTCTTTTCTTTTGGCTTTCGAAGAAACGGGGCTCGAGAAATCCTCTGCCAGCGGCTCAAAAAAAACAAAATAAAAAATGAATTTCTTTTGATTTATTTTCCAGTCTCCTCTCAGCCATGACCTCATCCTTAACCTGACTCAGGACGGAATCAAACTGCTATTTGATGCTTTCAATCAAAGACTGAAGGTAATCTCATGCCCAGAAGTTACCGTTTCTTCTCTTTCTACGCATCTACCATGCAGGTTTGGCGGTGTAGGTTAATCGCAAAACCGACACCATTTTCGGAGCCACAACTATGCAACTAGGTCTCTATGGCTATTGCTTCTCCCCAGTATTTGCATCTTTCTTTTACTGGGCTGGCTGCTGCTGCTATGTTGATACGGATGCTTTTGTCAGTCTTGATTTAATGCCTTGATTTTAGATCCCCGTACAAGATTTGAGTGTGTCGTTTCAGCTAGAATAACTGTCGGCTTACAGATAAGCAGGGAGGTTGAATTTCAGAAGAAGACGGCCTCCCTAATTTGTAGTCCTTGACTTGCAAACCAGGGTGGATAAAAATCAATGATTTTTTTAAAAAAAAATCAAAAAAATCAGATTTTTTTTATTTAAATCGGATTTTTTTTATTTAAATCGGATTTTTTTTTATTTTTATCGAATTTATTTTAATAAAAAACTTTTGGGGTAAAAATCTATCATAAGATAGTTCTATTTAAGATACATAAATTAGTTTATTCAGCATGAAATGGAGCCTAGTTATGTAGCATGAGGCTGTGTATTCTGCAACACTGGGACTATCGGTGAGTCAACAGCGGGTCAAAGGAGTAGCAGAGATGACAGTTGCTCTTTAAAAATTATGATTTAAATCGAGTTGATCTAAATCAAGCCTTTTTACTAGTGATTTAAATCATGATTTAAATTGTGATTTAAATCAACTCAATTTAAATCAAATCCACCCTGATACGGATGCTTTTATCGTTCTTGATTTAATGCCTTGATTTTTAGATCCCTGTACGAGATTTGAGTGTGTCGTTTCAGCTAGAATAACTGTCGGCTTACGGATAAGCAGGGAGGTTGAATTTCAAAAGAAGACGGCCTCCCTAATTTGTAGTCCTTGACTTACAAACAATTTGTTTACCGGCTGCTCGACGTTAACAACAGCACTAAGATGGTGACTTACGACCGTTTTTCACGCTTAATGACCCATGGTAGCATCCCCATGGTCACGCGATTCAAAATTTGGATGCTTGTCAGCGGATTTATATTTATGACGGTTGCAGGGGTCGTGCGATCCCCTTTTGCGACCTTCTGAGAAGCCAAGTCTGTGGGGGAAAGCCAGGTTCATTTAACGACCATGTGACTCACTTAACTGTGGTGATTCACTTAACAGCTGTGGCAAAAAAGGTCGTAAAATGGGGTCAAAATTCACTTAACAGATGTCTCACTTAGCAGCAGCAATTTTGGATTCGATTGTGGCCGTAAATCGAGGACTACCTGTATAAGGAAGGCGATGGGTGAGCACCTGTTTGACTTCCCTCATCCATATTTTGGCTGGTGGAGGCTGCCCACTATCTCTTATATACCATGGAGAGCTCCTTCTTTTCTCCGGCCCAATTGTGTTATTCTCGTTTAATCCTTTTCTTGTCAGTCATATCCAATTTTTCTATTTGGCAGTGCCTCTGAGAACCTGTGGGCCTCCCTTTACCTTGCTGGGACATAACAGAATAATAATAACTTTATTGTCATTGTACATGTATACACAGTATACCCATACAATGAAATTCACTTAACACCCAAAGACCAGGTCCAACACGCATAACAATCTCCAAAAACACTCCCACCCACCACAATTCCCCACCCCTGAACCACCCAAACATCCAGACAACAGACCAAGTAATGCTGCCTAACAGCTCACTGATGGTGGCCCTTTAGTTCATTGTTGAGTGCAATGATAGCTCTGGGATAAAAACTATTCAGAAGGTGTGTGGTCCGAGTTTTAATTGTTCTGTATCTTCTGCCAGAAGGCAACAGTCCAAAAAGATGGTAAGCAGGATGGGAAGAGTCTCTGAGAATGTTATGCAACTTCCTCAAACAGCGAGATTCGAAGATGTCATCCAGGGCTGGTAGCTGGAGCCCTGATGATATTCTGGGCAGTTTTAATGATTCTCTGTAGAGCTTTTTTATCCGCTGCAGAGCTGCTCCCATACCGTGCAAGAATGCCGTATGTCAGGACACTCTCAATGGTGCTGCGATAGTAGGGCAGAAGTAGTTAGTATAGATATAGATAGAAGTAGTAGAATAATAGAGTTGGCAGGGATCTTGGAGGTCTTCTAGTCCAACCCCTAGCTCTAGCAGGAGTTCCTTTACTCCTCTCCTTTTTTCTGCCATGTGGGCAAAGGAGTGTAGAGCCTTTGGGAAGCTTTGCCTTTCTTCTCAATCATGGAAGTTTTGCAGTTTTTTGAGACTGGTAGATGATGTTTGGCTTTGGCCTTCTGCACTGACCACTTCTGTTGATCTTATATGTAAATGAAGATTCAATGATCCAGGCCAAAAGTATCAAAAAAAAAGGCTTAACTCGTGGCAACTGGACCAAAGTTTCTTCTGTTGACATTCTGCTCAGCTCTTCAGCTTTTTCTTGTGTTCCTCTACCATGGCTGTGCTTTCCTTTCTTCTCTTTTATCTCCTCCTCTGCTTCTTTGCCATTCTAGTCCATCCTCTTCTCTTACTTATTCTTGTTTCCTTCCTGCTTTCCATAACACCCTTCCTCAGGTCCATGGCTCCAGTCCGTTAAAACTGTTTTTCAGCCTTGGCCCCTTTAAGAGGCGTGGACTTCAACAAGCTGGCTGGGGAATTCTGGGAGTTGAAGTCCAGGTCTCTCCAAGGGACTAATGTGTTAAAGAAGCACATTCAAACTAAAAATAGAAGCCAATATCCTCTTCCTTTGTTTTATTCGCATGTAATTGTGAGTTTTTAAGTTTTTCTTCGACTAACACCCTTACAGAAGTCAAATATGCCCTACAATTCCAGGAGATTAATTGATTAATTTTTCATAGTGTTTACAGTTTTTGTTTCTTTTTTTTTTAGGTGATTGAAGTTTATGACTTGACTAAAGTGAAGTTAAAGTACTGGTAAGTAGCTAGATTGTCTCTGCAATGGCCATAAAAAAAGACTTACTAAGATATTTTTCAATTCTGCAGCAGCTGAGCTGTCAATAGGAGGAGCGTGTCAGAAGAGATAGGATGATGGATGCAACCAAATTCCTTTTTTTATGTACATAGGAATCTTCAAACTTGGCCAACTTTAAGGCTTGCGGACGAATTCTGGGAGTTGAAGTCCGCAAGCCTTGAAATTGCCAAGTTTGGAAACTCCTGATGTACACCATAAAACTTCAGTCAGGTGGTTGTGACTACCGAGATGACATTTTGGACTCTCCCCGAGGACATCAACTTTCTTAAGATACTTCTTGAAGGAAACTGGTTAAAACTGGTTCGTTTCAAAAAAGCCATGTCTTGTCTAAGGTGAAGGTAAAGGTAAAGGTTCCCCTTGCACATATGTGCTAGTCGTTCCTGACTCTAGGGGGCGGTGCTCATCTCCGTTTCAAAGCCGAAGAGCCAGCGCTGTCCGAAGACGTCTCCGTGGTCATGTGGTCGGCATGACTCAATGCCAAAGGCGCACGGAACTCTGTTGCCTTCCCACCAAAGATGGTCCCTATTTTTCTACTTGCATTTTTTACGTGCTTTCGAACTGCTAGGTTGGCGGAAGCTGGGACAAGTAACGGGAACTCACCCCATTACGCGGCACTAGGGATTCGAACCACTGAACTGCCGACCTTTCAATCGACAAGCTCAGCGTCTTAGCCACTGAACCGCCGCATCCCGTTTGTGTCTTGTCGAAGCATGTTTAAAAGGAATAAAAGATCGAAAAAGAGAGATTGGAGTTTACGGATCGTATCCTCTCTGATTCAGCACGGTGCAGATGAATTTTGAGTTGCCTCAGATGAGGAAGCCAAAAAGTTCTATTTAATGACAGTTTCTCATTTGCACATTTGCTGGAGAATGATGGTTATTTTCAGGATGAAACGTGGCCTATTTGAAACGGCCTTCAGAACAAATTGGGATCTTCAGCATTGGGTATCCTGAGTGATTCCTAAGCAGGTTACCATAAATTTATTGTTAAATTCTGTGTCACGAAATTCCCTCCCGGGTGTCTTAGAGCAGCCCTTATCTTTCGATTGATCTTAATCCGCTAAATTGTTGGGCTAGGATTGTGTTTACCGCACTGATCTTCTGAGGTAAATTCTGCCACATAGTTATCGCATCCTCCACGCCTCATTGTGTCAATCTTGCTGGAGGGGTGTGACTGTGCGTGTGGGGGAGTGTGTGGGGGAGGGACACACGTGAGCGACAACCCAAACCAAGATCGTTGTTGGGAAGACAATGCAGCAAAAGAAACTAGGTTTGTGGAGGAAACAAATGGGCTTGCTCTAATTCAGTGGTGGCGAAACTTTTCCTCATGGACTGCCGAACAGGTACACGCTTTACATGCACACATGCTGTCCGCACTAATGCCTGGCTCCTCCTCCATGTGCTGCACGCGCAACCACACCATCTGCACATGCACATGGCTTTCACGTGTCTCCCCCCTGCACTGCGCATGCAGTCGCACCATCTGCGCTTGCATGCGGTTTTTACATGCGCAATGCACACACATGAATGCCATTTATGCATGCACGCACTGCACACAAGTACTCTTGTGCGCATGCACAAACATGCATGCGCAGGAGAGCTGCAAAGACCAGCTGGGTCCCCTGAATTGCGCACATGTGCACCGGAGGCCCGAACACCAGCTGGGGCACATGCACAGCTGCAAGTGAGTTGGGCGACAGCTCATGTGCCCGGAAAGATGGCTCTGCGTGCCATGTCGGGCACGCATGCCATAGGTTCGCCATCACGGGTCTAATTCAGTGGCTCCTAATCTTTGGGGCACCAGAAACCGGTTCCACGGAGAGAGGTTTTTCCAAGGACCGGGTTTTGTGTGTGGTTTTGCGTGCTGACTGCATCCTGTGAATGGGGCTTCACTTGTTTGCGAGGCCCGGGTTCTGGCATGCCACGGACTGGTGCCGATCCATGGACAGTGGTGGGTTCCAACCGGTGTTACCACCAGTTCTCTTTGCGCATACACTTTGCGCACGATTGCCGCGTGCATGCTCACTTCACGCGCATGTCACCAAACTTGCGCTCTGCGCAAGCGCATTAGGCTTCTGCCCAGCTGAGGTGCAGCAATCCACTCTCCCGCGCCAATCAGCTGGGCTAAAAACCAAGAAATAAAGGTAGGAATAAAGCGGGGGTGGGTGGGAGGGCCCAGCACCCAGTCACAGAGAACCGGTTCGATGACGTCACATCGTCACCACTACCAGATCGGCCGAACCGGGCCGAACCGGGAGCAACCCACCACTGATTGGGGACCCCTGTTCTGAGTGGAACATGTTTCTCACTGAACTTCTCGAACCAAATGTACAGGTAGTCCTCCTTTAATGACCATGATTAGAACTGGGCAACATAGTCATTAAGTGATACTCTCGCTAAGTAAAACCACAGGTGTGCTTGTGATCTTCCTTCAGATTTCCTTGGGTTTCACAGCAGTGTTTCCCAAACTCAACAACTTTCAGATGGATGGGGTTCATGGGGAATTCTGGAAGTTGAGGCCCACCCATCTTAAAAACGGCTGAGAGAGACGGCTAGACAGACCTGCGAAGGCTGTAAATGCGAGGATTGGTCGCAAAGTTGCATTTTCATCACTGTTGTCATTGCAAGCCATCACTAAAAGAGGCAGTCATTAAAAGAGGACTACCTGTACTACAGTTTCCCCAGCATTGCATTATGTGGATACCACAGGGAGGCATCCAAGCAGCCCTTCCCTGCTCACATACAGCTGCGCAGGCAGACAAATTCAGTAGATTTCTTACTACACCTTTGCCAAATTTCTATCTGTCAGTTCAGTTATTATACGGGTGGTCCTCGCCTTACGTCCGCAATTGAGCCCAAGATTCCTGTTAATTGAGACATTTGTTAAGTGAATTTTTGCCCCATTTTACAATCTTCCTTGCTACTGTTGTTAAGTGAATAATTGCAGTTCTTCACTTAGTAACCCGGTTGTTAAGTGAATCTGGCTTCCCCTTTGATCTGAATCCTACTCTGCCCTCCTCATCTTAAAACCTGGTCAAAATACTGAGTACAGGCAGTCCTTGACTTACAACAGTTCATTTAGTGACTGTTCAAAGGCACAACAACTCTGAAGAAAGTGACTTATGACCATTTTTTACACTTACAACTGTTGCAACATCCACACACGATCAGAATTTAGACGCTTGGCAATTGCTTCATGTTTATGACGGTTTCAGTGTCCTGAGATCAGATGATCCCCTTCGGACGAGCAAAGTCACTGGGGAAGCCAGATTCACTTAACAACTGTATGACTAAGTTAACAACTGTAGGGTTTCACTTAACAAGAAAAGTCATAAAATGGGGCAGAAGTCACTTTAACATACGTCTTGCTTAGCAACAGAAATGTTGGGCTCAATTATGGTCCTAAGTTGAGGTCTACCTGTATTATTTCTTGAAAGATACTTGGTGTGATGGAGCGAAAAATGGTTCTGAAATCTGTGATGAGAAACTAGCAGAGATGCACGTTAATTCTTTGGACTTTCTCTTCTAAACCCTTTTTTTAAAAAAACAAAACAAATTTAGCAGAAGATCTGATGAAAATAAAAAAATCATGGACTTGGCTTGAAAGAGCATTTTGCTTCTCACCCCATTAAACCAGTAGTTGCAACAAAAGCATTTTGTATGTGGTGGTGAAAGTGCGTTAAATATACTTTTGAGCCTTTCACAAAAGACCTCTGCCTTAGAATTTCACGTCTGAGCAGATTCAGTTAGAAGCAGAGATAGAATAGGGCAGTGACGGCTAACCTTTCTGCCATCACGTGCCAGGAAGGGGGGGGAACATGGGAGGTTTACGTGCATGTGTGCCCACACCCATAATTCTATGCGCCCCGCCCTGCACATGCGCGCGCAACTTTCCTTCCTCGCCCCCCATTCCTGGCACGTGATGGCTCGGTAGCCTTGTTTTTCTTTCTCACCTGGCTCCAGATCCTCTCCATGCATCTGGGGAGGGCGAAAACAGCCTTCCCCACCCCCCAAGCCCTCCTGAGGCAGGAAACAGCCTGTTTCCCTACTTCTGGTGGGCCCAGAAGGCCCGAAAACCAGCTGGCCGGCATGCGCATGCGCCCCAGAACTGATATGGCTACACGTGCCACCTGTGGCATGCATGCCATCGGTTTGCCATCACGGGAATAGGGTATTTAACCTGAAGCCCCAGATCACAAATAGCTTGGTCTCGGTTGCAAGTTTTCAGGCTGCAAAAAAAAAAAAATGGGAACATTCTAATTTGTTGTGTTGTGGAAATCAGGAAAAAAAAGAAACAGTGAAAATAAAAAGATTTTGAAGCTGTTTGTGAATGTGTGGGTAGCTTTGCATTTGACTGGTCGGTTTTAATTCATCTTTTTTTTCTTTTTTGTTTCCCCTAGTGGTGTTCATTTTAACTCTCACGCTATTCCTCCTACCATTGAACAAATTGATCAGTCTTTTGGAGCCACCCATCCAGGAGGTGAGTTTTGGACATTAAAAAAGATGCAAATCTTGCTTGGCAGCTCATAGAATAGAATAGAATAACTACAGTTGGAAGGGACCTTGGAGGTCTTCTAGTCCAACCCCCTACCCAGGCAGGAAACCCTACACCACTTCAGACAAATGGTTATCCAACATCTTCTTTAAAACCTCCAGTGTTGGAGCATTCACAACTTCTGCAGGCAAGTCGTTCCACTGATGAATTGTTCTAACTGTCAGGAAATTTCTCCTTAGTTCTAAATTGCTTCTCTCCTTGATTAGTTTCCACCCATTGCTTCTTGTTCTACCCTCAGGTGCTTTGGAGAGTAGATTGACCTCCTCTTCTTTGTGGCAACCCCTGAGATATTGGAAGACTGCTATCATGTCTCCCCTGGTCCTTCTTTTCATTAAACTAGACAGACCCAGGTCCTGCAACCGTTCTTCATATGTTTTAGCCTCCAGTCCCCTCATCATCTTTGTTGCTCTTCTCTGCACTCTTTCCAGAGTTTCAACATCTTTTTTACATTGTGGTGACCAAAACTGAATGCAATATTCCAAGTGTGGCCTTACCAAGGCATTATAAAGTGGCATTAACACTTCGCGTGATCTTGATTCTATCCCTCTGTTTATGTTCATGTCTGTGTTCATGTCCAGAAAAATTCTTTCGCCAGATTAGATTAGATTAGATTAGATTAGATTAGATTAGATTAGATTAGATTAACAGAGTTGGAAGGGACCCGGTAGGTCATCTAGTCCAACCTCCCCACCCAAGCAGGAGACCCTGCCTACACCATTTCCAACAAATGGAAGTCCAATTCAGATTCAGGTTGATAGGTTTACACAGGTAGTCCTTGACTTACAACAGTTCATTGCGTGACCTTTCGAAGATACAGTGGCACTGAAACGAAGTGACATGATTTTTCCCTTCCCCCCACATTTATGATTGTGACTTACAACCGTTTTTCACGCCTACGACTGTTGCAGCATCTCCACGATGACCAGATCAAAATTCCGACCCTTGGCAACTGACTCATATTTAGGATGGTTGCAATGTGATTCCCTTTTTGTGATTTTCTGACAAGCAAATTCCATGGGAAAACCACATTCACATAAGAACCATGTTACCGATTTAACAATTTCAGTGATTCACTTAACAGCTGTGGCAAGAAAAGTCATAATAATGGGGCAAAACTCACTCAGGGATTGTCCCTCTTAGCAACAAAAATTTAGGGCTCAGTTATGGTGCTAAGTCAAAGACTACCTGTATAGCTCATCATTTGGAGAGTCCCTTGGTTTCTGTATAGGATGACTTTAGACAGGAGAAAAACATGCATAAAGGAACACAGAGATTACTTGGAGAAGGCACGTGACAATTTAGTAAAATTTGAATTCAGGACAATAAAACTGGAAAGGGTGAGAAAGAGACAACCTGTTCCTTCTAACGGTAGAAGTGGTCTTTTGCTTAGTGACTTTTGAGTGGACCAGATTCTTTGAAGAAACGAATGGTTTTACAAACCCCAGCGTCTGCATTCATGCCTCTTGCTAAACCAAAAACCAAATCAAAAGATATGATGGCTTAGTGCCACCTTCTCCAATTTGGTGGCGCTCCAGAATTGCCCAACCAATGTCGGTTGAGAAAATCCCAGGAAGACATCAGACTGAAGAAGATCGTGAACTAGAACAAAGAAGATATTTTGTGACTATGAGGACAATTAATCGCTGGAACGACTCACCTCCGGAAGGTGTGGGTGCTCCATCACTTATCAAGGAGAGGTCCAACCTAAAACTAAGGAGAAATTTCCTGACAGCGAGAACAACTAATCCGTGGGAAACGGCTTAGCAATGGGAATAAATTCGTCCCATGATCAAGAGAGGCCATGTCAAGACATCGGCATGACAGGGGACCCTAAGATTAGCTCCTTTATTGTTCTAGGGTCCACAGAATTTTGAGTGAGAACAATTAACCAGTGGAACAAATTGCCTTCAGAAATTGTGGGTGCTCCATCACTTCTTGTGGCCCGTCAGCGGCCTGTGCAGCTAGTAGCTGATTCCGACAGCGAGGAGGCTGGTGTGGTGATTCGCCAGTAGCCTGTGCAGCTGGCACTCGAGTCAGACAGTGAGGAGGCTGGAGAAGATGTGGTGCCAGAGACAGGGATTCAGCCAGGGCCTTCAGAACCTCCAGAAGCTCCCATACGTGAAGAGGACGAAGAGGAGGAGCCTCTTCTCGACCAGCAATAGACATACAATAAATTAAAAATAATACTGACATTAATTGTGAATAATAACATCCCTGTTTTGAAAATACATGATCTCAAACCGTTAGGGTCGCTCCCTAATTTACATGAGTAGAGAGCCGACAAGTATGTGAATAAACGTATTTTTCCAATAATTGTTATAGATATCTCCAAAAAATTGGCACCACTTGACATCTATTATTCTGTAACCAATTTTTTTTCTTGTGGACATTGCAGCAACACAGAATTTTGCCACTGCACACCGTGGTAGCCGGGTTTGAGTCTTGGAGGAGAATCTCTCCTTGATTAGTTTCCATCCATTGTTTCTGTTCTGCCCTCTTGTGCTTTGGAGAATAATTTGACTCCCTCTTCTTTGTGGCGGCCCCTCCAATACTGGAATGCTGCAATCGTGTCCCCCCCCCCAATTCTTCTTTTCTTTAGACTAGCCAAACCCAAATCCTGCAGCCGTTTATTTTAAACTTTTATTATACGCCTCAAAATAGTGTAAATAATTCAAACCAGGAAAGCACCAAGTTGCTTGGAAGGGAATTTGCATTGTGGCTCTTTTGTTACAGGGTTTTCTTTTTCCTTGTCAGTAACATTTAATTGCTTAATTGCTTAGTCATCAAGTTGAAGCTTCTCCTAAAAAGGTGAACCATCCAAATTACGCAGCTACTAAATTTGGATGCTTTTCTTTGCAATAGCAACAGTGTAAATATCAAACTGAAAATGCAAATGTTAAAAAAAGCTCTAAATATTTGCCATTCTCAATTATAATGAGATATAACGGATCAAGCTGATCCACAAAAAGAGGATCTAAAAGCCAGGATGAAACGAAACATACCCAAATAGTATTTTTCTTCCAAGAATTCAGCTTTTCTAAGAGGCAGGAAGTCAAGACAAATGTTTGAGTTCAGATCAGAAACTTATACAGGTAATCCTCGACTTACAAGCACTCATTTAGTGACCGTTTGAAGTTACAATGGCACTAAAAAGAAGTGATTTATGACTGATTTTCACACATACGACCGTTGCAGCATCCCTGTGGTTACATGATCCAAATTCAGACCCTTGGCAACTGACTCATAGTTATGACTGTTAGGAAATGAGTATTACCTACTTTGTTGGGTTGGCAATATATAAACCCTCAATATAGCTTTAAGACTGCTGTATTGCATCATACTGTGTCCTGATTGGTTAGCTCTGTAGCCAATCTCCTTAAGAGGGAGCTAGAAACATGGTTTGTTTCTTTTTGCTGTTCTTGCTGTCTGATACCTCTGTATGCTACTGTTTGCAAATCCAGAAGAACTGTTTATTGTGAATGACTATGACGACTGGTAAGAAGACTTTGTTATTGGATTATTCCTGGACTGTCGTTTTGCTATCTCCTGCTTTATATGTGTATGACCTGGACTGTTTATTGGACTGTGCCTTACTATTTCCTGAAAGTAAACACAACTCAGTGTATCTGTGTGTTGACTGTGTTTATTCGTATCTACTCTCAATCGCTTTCATGTACACACCCTTGCTATTCAAGGGTTACTCTGCGAATTCTTTAACAATGACGCTTGCAGTATCCCGGGGTGGTGGGGGGTGTCACATGATCCCCTCTTGTGACCTTTTGACAAGCGAAGGCAATGGGGAAATCCAGAGTCACTTAATAACCATGTGACTAGCTTAACAACGGCAGTGCTTCACTTTACAACTGTGGCAAGAAAGCTTGCAAAAATGGGGCAAAACTCCCTTAACAGATGTCTCGCTTAGTGACATAAATTTTGGCCTCTGTGGTGGTCAAAAGTCAAAGGACTGTCTTCACCCCTTTATTCCTCCTATCTCGTTTCTTAACTGTGATGCCCCTTGATATTTGATCGCATGCTTCCTTGTGTCTCTTCCTTCTTTTCTTATTATTATTTAGCCCCATTATAACATCTAGCCAAACAGGTTAGGTAGGTTGTATTGCAACTGTAGAAACTTGCAGGTCCTGTTTGAGCTGTGTAGCACAGGAAAAAAATGTCCCAAGAATGCAGGAATAGGGACATCTAATTTTTCACCCGATTAAAAATACCAACTGCGATCCCATGAAAAACTTCATTTCTTGAACCCTCCCTCTTGGGTTTTTCTCTGGGTATTAACCAGTGGAACCACTTGCCTCCAGAAGTTGTGAATGCTCCAACACTGGAAGTTTTTAAGAAGCAATTGGATAGCCATTTGTCTGAAATGAAATAGGGTTTCCTGCCTGATCAAGGGGTTGGACTAGAAGACCTCCAGGCTCCCTTCCCGCTCTGTTATTCTGTATTTTTAATTTTCCTAGAATATCTTAAAACCCCTACTGTTTACCAGATGATTGGAAAAAACCTGAGACATGTTATAATGAAGAGCTCAAGTTCGGAAGAAAAATGTTTAGATTATTATACAGTTAATCCTGAACGACTATAATTGAACCCCACAATTTCAGTTGTGACAGGCATAAAGCGGATCGCCATGTAACCACGCCTGATTTTATGACCTTTTTAGCAGCGGTCGTTCAGCAAACCCGTTGTTTGCTATGCGGCATTTACCAGAAATGGGAAATAAATGTTGGTTTATGGAAATTACTGTAGTCACATAATTACAGGATGCTATAGTTCAGTGTTTCTCAACCTTGGTAGCTTGAAGATGGGTGGACTTCAACTCCCAGAATCCCCCAGCCAGCAGCGCTGGCTGGGGGATTCTGGGAGTTGAAGTCCACCCATCTTCAAGCTTCCAAGGTTGAGAAACACTGCTACAGTTGGTTGCCAAACACCCAAAATATGATGATGTAACTGGGAAGGGGAGCAGATATTGGAACTTCAAATCCGGTGCATAGGTCAGTTTTTCAGGATCTGTTGTAACTTTGAGCCGTCACTAAAGTGATCTGTCATAAGTCGAGGTTTATCTGTATGGGAGTGTTATGAATGCAATGTTTGGCTGTTTATCAATATTTGTGCCGAGTTCGGGTTTAAAAAAAAGTTACTGTTTTTACATGCTGCTGTGTGTTTTGTTTTTTTTCCCACCAGTTTACAACTCTGCCGAGCAACTTTTCCATCTCAACTTCAGGGGCCTGTCCTTCTCCTTTCAGTTGGACTCATGGACTGAAACTCCAAAGTATGAGGTCAGCTATCTTAATTTAAAAAAAAATAAAAAATGCAAAAGGAAAATAATGTATTTGTTTTTTCCCTCTGTACCCTTTCCTTGATTGTAAAAATGTGTGGTTTAGACCAGGAGGTCTCCAACCTTGGCAACTTCACGACTTGTGGGCCAGAGGTCACCAACCTTTCGGACCTCAGGGACCACTAAATTCATAATTTTAAACCCCGCGGACCACTAATATGATCTGCCTAATAACCGGCTGGGTGGTCATGTGACTGGGTGGGTGTGGTCACTCACATTGAGCGGTCCCTTGCTGACTTCTACTCACCCCTCCCCTCCCAGCCACTCCTCGCCTGCCCGCCCGGGCTCCTTAGGACCCCAACAGGAAGCAGTTGTTGGAGCTAAGTAGTCACCATGAGAAAGAGTTGGCAAAACAGCTGGCTCAGTTCAAATTGGATCTGACTGAGAAGGAGGCTCAGCAGAAGCACTCACTGAGGACTAGGAGCATAGGCTTTCCAAGCAGAGGGAAAACCTGTGGAAGTGCAAGGCCAGGTACCGACACCTTGAGGCTCAGCGGGCTGAGATGGTCAGCCAGTTCCAGGCCATGATGCAGTCCCATTGGAAAGAGGCCCTCTAGCTCTTGGCCACCAGCGGCGCTTCCCTCCAGCCTTCGCCCAAAGCCCCACACCAGGAGGCTGAAGCAGACCCCAAGTCGGAATTTCTGCCTCCCTCCGACCCACACAAGAAGACCCCAAAGGGGGAGACTCTCTGCAGCAACACAAACGTTCATTGCACGTATCTGTCCCAGGGGCCGTAGTTTGAGGACCCCTGATTTAGTGCAATATAAAAAATGCAAATAATTTTTCTGCGGACCACCAAAACTTTCTCGCACACACACCAGTTGTTCACGGACCACCAGTTGGTGACTGCTGTTGTGGGCTTCAACTCCCAGAATTCCTCAGCCAGCTTTGCTCTGGGAGCTGAAGTCCACAAGTTCCAACTCTGGAGGCCGAAGTCCACAAATCATAAAGTTGCCAAGGTTGGAGACCTCGTGTGGTTTAGACTACACGGCAGGGATGAATCCAGAGAAAGGTCAAAACAACACCCAGCTTGGAGGCCTGAATGGGAGACCGTGCATCTTTTCATACGAATTCAGGACACGTGTAAAACTAGCTGGGCTGGTGGACATCATGAACTACACGCATACATGCACGCATGGATGGACACACCATTCCAGCAAATGCCTCTGATCAGGAGGCTTGAAACCCCCTCCAAGCTATAACTAGCCATCATGTCAAGCTATAGTATGTTTACCCATGTTTTGTTGAATAAACCACCATCGGCCAGGTTAACGCTATTGTTGTGGCCTTTGGCCGCCGGCCCCTTCAGCAGCCAAAACGGAGGAGGAGGAGGAGGATGCGTGGGAGTCAGAGTCAGCATCAAGGCAACCTGAGAACACCGAGGGGGAAGAAGCAGGGGTGAAATCTACTTACCTTCCCTACCGGTTCGGAAGTGCATGCGCCGCGCACGCACCGACCCTCTGCCCATGCGCAAACCCTTCTGCGCATATGCAGAGGGTAAAAAACAGGAAGTTGAAACCAGGAAGTAACGACGACCGGGCAGCTGGGTGGAGCCTCAAGCTGCCATCGCTACCGGTTCTCCGAACCACCGGCCATCATCGCTACGAGTTCGGCCGAACTGGGAGCATTTCACCCCTGGTAAGAGGGCAGGGAGCTGTCAGAGAGAGAGACAGAGGTGGAGCCTTGGCCATCCGTCAGCCCTCAGATGGAGAGTCAACAGCCCCCAGGTCTGGAGGTGGCTGATGAGGAAGAGGAGGAACAGCTGGGTCCAGTGCCTGACGCACGGATGTGCAGAAGGCAGAGGAGAGGAGAGCAGTGGAAATCTATGGGCTGGTCCTTGGGACAGAGGAGCTGCTAGTGAAGCCCCACCCTAGCTCGAGGGATAAAAGGCAGGGGGCGGAGATAAATAGACGTGGCAGACAACTATTCATCTTCCGGACAGACGGACTTGTTAGCCTGAGGTGAGAGAGAAACTGTTTGCCAGGGTTGCTGGCGCTCCTAATAACAGAATCTTTGAGTTGACTTCAGAGGGTTTGTCGGGTTTGGGGAGCTGGGTCAGAGCCGTTATCCACTAAACCAGTGATGGCTAACCTTTTTGCCATCGCGTGGCAAAAGTTGGGGGAGTGCGAGGGGGGGTCGTGTGCGTGCGTGCCCACACCCATAATTCTATGTGCCCTGCCCACTGTGTGTGACCCCCCCGAGCTCCCCCCACTTTTGGCACATGATGGCATGGTGGGCCCGGTAGGCCCGTTTTTTGCCCTCCCCAGGCTCCAGAGGCTTTCTAGGAGCCTGGGGAGGGTTAAAACGGCCTTCCCTAACCCCCCGGGGCCCTTCAAAGACCAGAAACAGCCTGTTTCCCAACTTCCAGTGGGCCCAGAAGACCTGAAAAGCATCTGGCCAGCACGTGCATGCCCGCTGGGGCTGACCTTGCGTGCCCACCGATATGGCTCCGCGTGCCACCTATGGCACGCGTGCCACAGGTTCGCCATCACAGCACTAAACCATAAACCTTGATTTTAGAGGCATGGTTTGCTACATTCTCTGGCCGAAACCCAAACAAATCCCCTTACGAGTCACCGAGATATGTGAAGCAGCTTTTGCAAGAGAGGGATTAAATTTTCCGCTAAACTCTTTATAAGAGATGAAGGTGCGGCTTTGGGAGCGTAAAGAAAGAAGTGTCGGTGGTGTGTTCAGTTATTCACAATGCCTTTTCATTTTGATTTCCACAGCCAAACTTTGCCCACGGCTTAGCCTCTCTGCAAATCCCACACGGTGCAACTGTGAAACGCATGTACATCTACAGCGGGAACAGTCTACAGGATACAAAGTACGTTCGCTCTGATGTTGTGGAATCACAGAGGTGGAAGGGCCCCTGGAGGTCTTCTAGCCCAACCCCCTGCTCAAGCAGGAGACCCTATGGTCAATAATTAATCCGATTGCTAATCAATTGATTAACAATCAACTAGACTAATAATTTATTAATCTAGGGATATAAAATTAAAGATTTAAAAGGTAAAGATTTTAATTGGGTTTTTAAAAATGGGATTTTAAATTTGGGGTTTTAAATTGAGCCTATCATTTAATCATTTAAATTATTTTTAAATTTTGTCTGTCTTTGTGCTTTTAATTAGGCTGTACACCACCCTGTGTCCTTCGGGAGAAGGGCGGTATAGAAATAAAATTAATTAATAAAATTAATAAATGCAAATATTTTATGCGGGCTATCTTATTGAAAAAATGAAAATAATGTATTCATTTTTTCCCCCCTGTGCCTTTCCTCGATTATAAATTATGCGGTTTAGACTACACATTTATATGCATAGCTATATAAACTGTTGCTTTTTCACGAATATAATCAATATACTTGTGCAAGTAGTGCTCATTTCGTGACTAATAACGGTTCAAAGTTATGGTCCTACAATTGGGCGTAATTCACTTCATCACCCTTTTGGTTAGCAACATAAATTCTGGTCCCAATTGTGGTCATAAGTTAAGGACCACCTGTACTGAGAGCCAATATTTTGCGTTAGTCTTTCACTGAGATATATTTCATCTTCTGTTTTGCGCGTAAAAGTCTTTTTTTTTTCTCTCTCTGTTCAGTTCAGGAAACGCTTTCATTTTCCAGGCTGAGAAATTTGTTTTTCTTTTCTTATTTGAGTTTTATTGGGTTTTAACAATTAAACAATTCTTATTCAACTTTTGTGCATGACTGTGACCATTTACATATCATCACACTAATGTTCTCCTATACTCTATATAATTTTACAAAATCTACTATCTGTTATTTCCCTTTGTTTTCTATCTTCAATCCAATTATACCATTTCTCCCATATTACGTAAAAGTCCGAATCCATCAGTCATATATTATTCATATTATTAACAACGTATATTATTCTACATATGACAATGGCGGCAAGATTGGCATTTGCGCAATGTTGGAGAAGTTCAAACATACCCTCCAAAGATTTAATAATTAGAAAGATATTAGATTGCGCCGAGATGGAGAAATTTGTTTTTTTTTTGCATATTGATTTCTTGACATGCAAACCATCTCTCGAAATTTCTATGGAGATTCTCCATCATCCAGGTCACGGTTCTCCCAAAGGCAACTGGACTTTCTGGTTTTTCTTTGAAGACATTTCGCTTCTCATCCAAGAAGCTTCTTCAGCTCTGACTGGATTTCCATTCTTCCATTCCCCACCATTCCGTCGGAACTGAAGAAGCTTCTTGGATGAGAAGCGAAACGTCTTCAAGGAAAAAGTCCAGTTTGCCTCCTGAAAAAAACACCTTTGGGATATCTCTCAAAATTCTGCCTTTTTTCTCTAAATGGATGGCCTCTGGGGATACAGTGAATATCCAGAATAAAATAATTTGGCATCTGGCTTTTATTGGCTGACAAGCTTCAAAGTGTGATTTTTTCAATCTAGCCATTCTTCATCAGAGGCTTCCCTTTTTTTCTCTGTTGGACTACAGTTCCCATCATCCTCCAATCAGCTTCCGGAGTTGGACTTGCCCTTCCATTCTAATGTCTATTATAAGTTAGGAAGTTTGGAATATAGAAACCTTCAGGATTGGTAAAGGAACGTATCCTGTTTTAAATTATTTACGTTGTTTTATGCTTTTAGGGCACCTACGATGCCACTCAGCTGTTTCCTCGGAAATGTGTATGCAGAATACGTTGATGTTCTCCGAGATGCAGCTGGACCCTCAGGTTTACGACTGCGATTACTCACTGCAGGTATAATAGTATGTCCAATTCTGGTCACCACGTTATAAAAAAGTTGTTGAGACCCTAGAAAGAGTGCAGAGAAGAGCAACAAAGATGATTAGGGGGGCCTAGAGCAGGGGTGAAATCTACTTACCTTCCCTACCAGTTCGGAAGTACACGAGCCCAGCGCGCTGAGCCACTGTACACGCGCAAACCCTTCTGCTCATGCACAGAGGGTAAAAAACAGGTTACTTCCTGGTTAAAACCAGGAAGTAATGACGACTGGGTGAGTAGGCGGAGCCTTGCGCTGCCATCGCTACCGGTTCTCTGAACTGGTCCGAACTGGTAGCATTTCACCCCTGGCCTAGAGGCAAAACCGTACCATGAACATTTGAGGGGATCTAGGTACGTCTAATCTAATGAGAAGAAGAACCAGGGATGACTTGATAGCAGTCTTCCAATATCCGAGGGGCTGTCATAGAGAAGAGGGGGGGTGACTTTTTCTCCAAAGCATCTGAAGGCAGGACAGATGGATCTCTCATCCAAGAGAGATCTAACCAGTGGTGAAATGTAAAATTTGTTCTGTGGGCGTGGCTTGGTGGGAGGGGGTAATGGGTGGGCGTAGCCAACTTTTTTTTTTTAACTTTTAAAAGCATTTTTTCTACAACCTCTGAAGAGATTGTAAAAAAATGCTTTTAAAAGCCTCTGACGATCCCAGCTGAGCCGCGCGATCATCAGAGGCTTTTTTTTTTTTACTTTTAAAAACATTTTTTCAGCCGAAGAGGCTGTAAAAAAAATGCTTTTAAAAGTAAAAAAAAAAAAGCCTCTGATGATCGCGCGGCTCAGCTGGGCATGGGGGGTGGGGGGTTTGCAGGGATTTTTGCTACCCGTTCTCCGAACCACCCACCACCATCGCTCCCTAATCGGTAGATCCGGTCCGAACCGGGGAGCATTTCACCCCTGGATCCAACGTAGAATGAAGGAGAAACTTTCTTGATCGTGAGAACAGTTAAATCAGTGGGACGGCTTGCTTTCAGAAGTTGTGGGTGCTCCATCACTGGAGGTTTTCAAGAAGAGATTGGACAGCCATTTGTCTGGAATTGTGTAGGGTCTCCTGCTTGAGCAGGAGGTTGGACTGGAAGACCTCCAAGGTCCCTTCCAACTCTTGTTATTCTATGCTCTAATTCCAAGTTAAAATATTTGTGCTTGACTTTCCCCTTAAAAACAGGAAAGGGAACGTGGTCCAGCTGGTGAGGTTGATCCCGTCCAGCTTTTTTAGCCCAGTGGTGGGATTCAAATAATTCAACAACCCTAATCTCTGCCCTAATGACCGGCTGGGTGGGCGTGGCCATGGAGGGCGTGGCCAGAGTGTGTGACAGACAGCACTTGGCCTCCTGCACTCTCCTGGGAGAAAAAGCAGGCCGATAGGGGACGCCCCACCCCCCACTCTCCATTTTGGGCCTAGTAGGCCTCCCTGCACTTACCTGGGAGCCAAAATGGAGTGTGTGGGGACTCCATTTTGGCTCCCAGGAAGGGGCAGGGAAGGGAGGGGTGGGGCCAGCCAGCAATTTAACTACCAGTTTGCTCAAACCATCTGAAACCACCCAACTCTAGATCAGACTGTGACAAAAACAACAACTCTGTATACAACGAAAACTCTCATGTCTGTCTGTAACTTTCAACGGGGTGCGTTTTAGGCAACAATTTTTAAATCAATGTACCTCAAAAAGGCTCTTTTTTAAAAAAAATTGATTTATATGCCGCCCTTCTCCGGAGACTCAGGGCGGCTTACAATGCGTTAAGCAATAGCCTTCATACTTTTGTATATTTTATACAAAGTCAGCTTATTGCCCCCACAAACTGGGTCCTCAATTTACCTACCTTAGAAAGGATGGAAGGCTGAGTCAACCTTGAGCCTTGGAGAGATTCAAACTTACTAATTGCAGACAGCTGGAGTTAAATTACAATGCATTAGTCTGCTGAGCTATCCAGGCTCAGTTTTAAAGAATGAATAAATCATAATTTCATTTCTTTCTTTCCGCATAAAGTTTACATGAGCATTCTAGTTTTTTTTTTTTTAAGTTTTTTTTTTCCTCTGACCACTCACGTTCACATAATTTTATTTTCTAAGACTATTGGGATCAGGGCAGGTGTTTCAGAATTATTCCCTAGTGCTCATATCTTCCCTCTCTCCTTTATTTCTCCTTTATAGGTTGCGGTCCTGGTGTGTTAGCCGATGCCAAAATACGGGTATCTGAGCGTTGTGTGTATTTCGGTGATTCGTGCCAAGATGTTCTGAGCACTTTGGGGTCCCCTCACAAGGTTTTCTACAAATCTGAAGATAAGGTTAGGCAAAATCCTTGCAGGTCATTTGTATAAGTAGCCTGCAAAGACCTTCACTTCCTCACTGAGTGTTAGATAAATTATAGGCAGTCCTCCCCTTACGACCATAACTGAGCCCAAACTCTGTGGCAAAGCGAAGTAATTGTTAAGTGAGTTTTGCCCCATTTTACGTTTTTCTCGCCAAGTTGTTAAGTGAATCCCTGCCGTTGTTAAATTAGTAACACCGTTCTTAAGTGAATCTGGCTTCCCCATTGACTTTGCTTGTCAGAAGGTCGTAAAATGGGATCACGTGACCCCCGGGACTCTGCAACCGTCATAAATATGGGTCAGATGCCAAGTGTCTGGATTTTGATCACATGACCATGGGGACGCTGCAACGGTCATAAGTGTGAAAAACGGTCGCGAGTCACCTTTTTCAGTGCTGTTGTAACTTCAAATGGTCACTAAATGAATTGTTAATTAATTATTATTAATTTTTCCTGCTTGTATTTTTAAGTGAGATATTTTTAATGTCATTTTAATTTATTGAGTGTTGTGGGGTTTTTAATGGTATGCAGAAAGTGGCATATTTATTTATTTATTTATTTATTTATTTATTTATTTATTTATTTATTATATTTCTATACCGCCTTTCTCCCGTAGGACTCAAGGCGGTGTACAGTCAAGACAAATATAGACACACAAACATAATTAAAATTATTATTATAACATAATTTGACCCAATTAAATAGAACCTAAAATTAGATAACATTTTAAAAACATTCACATGTTCATATGGATGGTTGGTTTTTTTCCCCACTCAGTACAGGGAAGTAGTCCTTGATTTATAATCCCAATTGACTACAATATTTCTGTGGCTAAGCAAGGCAGCTGTTAAGGGGAGTTTTGCCCCATTTTGTGAGAGCAAGGGAGTTTCGCCCTCTTTTTGCCTGCCATTATGTCAGTGTTTCTCAACCTTGGTAGCTTGAAGATGGGTGGACTTCAACTCCCAGAATCCCCCAGCCAGCGCTGCTGGCTGGGGTATTCTGGGAGTTGAAGTCCACCCATCTTCAAGCTTCCAAGGTTGAGAAACACTGTGTTGGGTGAATTACTGCAGGCAGTGGTGGGATTCAGCCGGTTCGCACCATTTTGAGATAACCGGTTGTTAACATTCTGAGTAGTTTGGCAAACTGGTTTTTGGAAGAAATCATTAGGGCAGAAAACTGGTTGTTAAATTACTTGAATCCCACCACTGACTACAGGTGTTGTTAACATGGCTGGCTGAGGAATTCTGGGAATTGAAGTCCACAAGTCATAAAGTTGCCACAGTTGGAGATCCCTGCTGTACAGGGTTGAATCAATTCCTGATTTCTCTCGTGGATGTCATTTAATCCATTCAAAGCTTAGGGGGGGGCTCCCTTTTCCCAATAAACACCAGCCATTGTTAAGTTTGAAAATAAAGCTGTTTCTTGCTCTTTTTTTTTGCAAACAGATGAAAATCCATTCACCTTCGCCTCACAAGCAAGTCCCTTCGAAGTGCAACGATTTTTTCTTCAACTACTTCACGCTTGGAGTGGTGAGTTAAAGATGGGGTTAGTTACACGCCACTAAACCATGTTTGTTTAATCATAAACACAAGCAGCCAGGGTCACCCAATATGCTGAAGCACGTCAACCTGAGCAGTTGTGGGTTCCAAAAATTTTTACTACTGGTTCTGTGGATGTGGCTTGGTGGGCGTGGCAGGGGAAGGATACTGTAAAATCTCCATTCCTACCCCACTCCAGGGGAAGGATACTGTAAAATCCCCATTTCCTCCTGATCAGCTGGGTCTCGGGAAGCAGAGAATAGATAGGGGCAGGGCCGATCAGAATTTTTATTACCGGTTCTCTGAACTACTCAAAATTTTTGCTACCGGTTCTCCAGAACTGGTCAGAACCTGCTGAAACCCACCTCTGAACCTGAGCTTCTAGCATTACCTGAGCTTGTCTGGTCAACATCCCAGGGCCAAAAGGCAGCTCCTGGATCTGCAAGGCCACTAGATGGCACTTGAAGGCCTCCATAAACTCAGTAAATGAATGAGGGAAGTCAGACTTTCCATCACGGACTAAAAGCTCGTAAGATCTTCATAGTTTTCGCTTAAAAAGAAAAGATCCGGAAGTGCCACACATGACATTATATGAAATTGTATGCCAGCTGTTGAAAAAAAATAGCAGATATTTTGCTGCTCATTTTTGAATTAATTATTTTTTTCAAATTGCTCGCACATAAGAACAGTCCCAAAGGTGCTTTTTCAAGAGGCCACTGGACTTTCTGGTTTTTCTTTGAAAGACGTTTTGCTTCTCATCCAAGAAGCTTCCTCAGCTTCTGTCCTCCTTGGATGAGAAGCAAAACGTCTTCAAGAAAAAAACCAAGGAAGTCCAGTGGCCTCTTGAAAAAGCACCTTTGGGACAACCATGACCTGGATGGCTGAGAAGGAGCCTTGGTGGAGCAGCGGACTAAAGTGCTGTTAAAGTAGCACTTAGCTGACAGCTGCCTGCAATTACTGCGAGTTCAAATCTCACCAGGCTCAAGGTTGACTCAGCCTTCCATCCTTTCAAGGTGGGTAAAATGAGGACTCGGATTGTGGGGGCAATAAGCTGACTTTGTATAAAATAGAACACCGCTTGGGGGGGGGCGAAAGCCCCACTAAGCAGGTATATACAAAAGTATGAAGGCTATTGCTTAACGCATTGTAAACCGCCCTGAGTCTCCGGAGAAGGGCGGCATATAAATCGAACCAATAAATAAATAAATAAATAAATCTCCGTAGAATAAACAAGGTTGGAAAGGACCTTGGAGATCTTCTAGTCCAACCCAGCTCAAGGCATGAGACCTTATGCCATCCAGACAAACGGCGGACCATTCTCATCTGAAAAACCTCTAGTGATGGAGCACCCACGACTTCTGGAGGAAAGCTATTCCCCCCCGATTACAGTAATTGTTCTCACTGTCAAGAAATTTCTCCTTTGTTCCAGTTTAAAGTAGACAGACCTAGTTCCCTTAGCCCTTCATCCTATGTTTTAGCCTCCAGTCCCCTAATCATCCTGGTTGCTCTTCTCTGCACTCTTTCTAGAATCTCAACATATGTTTTATAATGTGGTGACCAAAACTGGATACAGGATTCCAAGTGTGGCCCGACTAATGCAATATAAAGCAGTATTATGACTTTACATAATCTTGAAACTATCCCTCTGTTGTGTTCTGTCCCCGTCTTACACACGCACACAAACAGACAGCCAGGGGTTAAATAAACTGGCAGACAACCAATTCTTCCGATAAGACGCTTGGCAGCAACCCAGTAGCTGCTTACCAAGAACTTTTACTCAACAAACAAAATACACACAGTCAAGAATTGTCCATTTCGTAAAATAAATCCAAGGCCGATAATGTTGTTTCCAAAGATGCAATGTGACTCGATAGTAGTTAGTTTTGTCCGTCACAGAGTCTGAATGGCCACCTCACCCCCCTTTATACCCTGTGGGGTATGATCCAATGACTCAGCCTGATCTCTGGCACGCCTTTTCTTCTGTTGCCCGCACTTACCTCTGCGACGCTGCCGAGGATCCAGCCAAGACTCATTACCCTCATCACTGTCCACCTGTGGCTGCATGGACGTGCTTGGCCTCGGCCCTATCTCTTGCCCTTCGGCGGACACCGAAGGCATTGCCAGAGAGGAGGGTCCTGGAGAGGGAGGCCTTGCTAACTCCTCTCCTTCACTCTCGGAGTCCTCTCCTGCCGATGACACAGGCTCAGGTAACGGAGCCACAACATGTTGATGTAGCCTAGGACTGCATTGGCTTTTTTTGGCAGCTGCAGTACAGCTCATATTGAAGTGGTTGTCTACTAGGACAGCTAGATCCCTCCCACAGTGAATACTATTGAGCCAGGTACATGTTGATTGACATGTAGGGTGTTAAAAACAATTACTACCAACCTGCCTCCCATTGAGGACCTGTATACTGCACGAGTCAAAACGAGGGATGTGAAAATATTTACAGATCCCTCGCACCCTGGACATAAATTGGTTCAACTCCTACCCTCAAAACGAAGCTATAGGACACTGCACACCAGAACAACTAGACACAAGGACAGTTTTTTCCCAAACACCATCACTCTGCTAAACAAATAATTCGCTCAACACTGTCAAACTATTCACTAAGTCTGCATTACTATTAATCTTCTCATCGTTCCTATCACCCATCTCCTCCCATTTATGACTGTATGACTGTAACCTTGTTGCTTGTATCCTTACGATTTATATTGACTGTTTCCTAATATGATTTGATTGCTTATTTGTACCCTATGACTATCATTAAGTGTTGTACCTTATGATTCTTGTTGAACGTATCTTTTCTTTTATGTACACTGAGAGCATATGTACCAAATTCCTTGTGTGTCCAATCACACTTGGCCAATAAAATTCTATTCTATTCTATTCTATTCTATTCTATTCTATTCTATTCTATTCTATTCTATTCTATTCTATTCTACCCTACCCTACCCTACCCTACCCTACCCTACCCTACACTACACTACACTACACTACACTACACTACACTACCCTAATTTATTCTTTATTCCATTATTCTGTCCTATCCTATCCTATCTATCCTATCCTATTCTATTCTATTCTACAATAACTTAAACAGGTCAATTGATTGACAATGATGGCTTGTTTCATCACTTAAGTATAGTAATTTTTCTCTGTTCTGGTTTTCTCCCTCAGGATATCCTTTTTGATGCAAATACTCAGAGAGTAAAGAAATTTGTTTTGCATACCAATTATCCTGGTCATTATAACTTTAACATGTGAGTAAAAAAGCTCGAATATACCCCATTTTCCATTTCAGCTTGAAACGTTATGAGCTAGTAGTAGATGGATATGCAAGAGCCCGGAAACTTTGTGCTTTTTCCTGAATTTCCACCAGTGGAAACACATAACCCCTAATTTATCGTTTCTAAATCTTCATCAAACATTTGGGGAATGATTCTAACCTTTCTCAAAAAATTTCTCAGACAGTCAAAAGCGTTTAACTTCTTAATTCCATGAAATAGAGGCCGTCCTCCCTTAAGGGCCACAATGGAACCCGGAATTTTGGGTGTAAGTTGTTCTGGTCTTTTAGCTTTTAGTTACCATGTCACTTAATTCAATTTGACACCATTTTTATGACAGTCGTAAAGCAAGCCACTGCAGTCGTTCAACAAATCAGGTGGTCGCTAAGCAAATCCATTTTTTTCCAAATGGGCGTTACTGCCAGAAACGTCAAAAATCACAGTCACATGACTGTCGATGCCGATATTCATAGAGAATATTCTTATGAGACCCGTGCAAGACTGCAGAATATAGAATGTGCATAACATTTCGCCTTTGAATTCTTTTGAATTTGAAATACATTTCAAGTGTCAGACCACACACACACAAATACAAACAGGCTTTCAAACCCGAAACAGCCATTTGGAGTGTGAAACGGGCTGTTTTGACCATTTTGGAAGGAGCGTAGAAACCACGTTTTGAATTCAAAACAAGATGCTATGAATTCAGAACAGTTCAACTTAAACATACCGTATTTTTCGGAGTATAAGACGCACCGGACTATAAGACGCACCTACCTTTTTTGGTGAGGAAAAAGAAGAAAAAGAAATCTCCCTCTGCCTCTGAGCAATTTTGCCTCTTTGCAGCAAACAGCCTGCTTTACTTTCATTTTCGTTTTCAGCATAGCTTGATTAGCACAAGGGGAAAAAAAATCTGCTCCAGCAATTTACCTCTTTGCAGCAAGCAGCAGAGCCCTGTGCAAAACAGCTGAGAGCAAATCAGCTGAGAGTTGGGAGGCCGATCCAATCAACTTGTGCTAATTAGGCTGTGCTGACGCTGAAAGGAGCTGTTTTTTCTTGCTGTTTGCTTGCAAGGAGATAACTGCTGGGGGGCAGAGGCCAAAGGGTGGGGGCCAGTGGGTGGGCGGGACTATATTCAGTGTATAAGACGCACCTAAATTTTCACCCCCTTTTAGGGGGGAAAAAGGTGCATCTTATACTCCGAAAAATACAGTAATTTATTTAGAGCAGGAGTGTCCAACCTCAGCAACTTTTAAGACCTATGGACTTCAACTCCCATAATTCCCTAGCCAGCCCATGCTGGCTGGGGAATTCTGGGAGTTGGTCCATAGGTCTTAAAGTTGCCAAGGTTGGACAGCCCTGATTTAGAATCAAGTATTTTTTTGAAATAAAACTCTTGTTTATGATTGTACTTTCTTCTAACTACTGATTCCATTCTTGCAGTTATCACCGTTGTGAATTTAAGATCCCGCTCGTTATTAAACGAGGTAAGAAAGAAGAATATTTGCCAAAAGATATATATGAATGGGAACATCGACCGTGAATGAATGATGGGCTTCTTATGATTCTAGGACATTTTTTTTTAATGTGCTCTAAAAAAAAGTTTTAACAAAGCAAAGTTGTGGGGAAACCCAAAGTGACAGCATGTGAAGCTAAGACTTTTAGGTTCAATATGGCCAACAACATGGGTGAATTTACAAAAGATTAAGGAAACAAAACAGAAAGACAAAAACTAGTGCTCGCATCCTAATATATCCCCTTGGTGTATGAGGTAGTCCTCAACTTACGACCACAGTTGAGCCAAAAAGCGAGACAATTTGTTAAGGAATTCGCAGAGCAACCCTAGAGTAGCGAGGGTGTGCACATGAAAACGATTGAGAACAATTGCGAATAAACAGCCAACACAGAGATACACTGAGTTGTGTTTTACTTTTAGGAAATAGTAATAAGGCACAGTCCAATAAACAGTCCAGGTCATACACAGATAAAGCAGTAGATCGTAAAACAATAGTCCAGGGATAATCTAATAACAAAGTCTTCTTACCAGTCGTCGTAGTCATACACAAAAAACAGTTGCAAACAGTAGCAAACACAGCAAAGAGCAATAATGATCAGCAAAGAGAAATAAACCATGTTTCAAGCTCCCTCTTAAGGCCATTGGCTACAGAGCTAACCAATCAGGACACAGTATGATGCAATACAGCAATACAGTCTTAAAGCTATATTGAGGTTTTATATATTGCCAACCCAACAAGTTAGGTAATTATCATTTCCTAACACAGTTGTTAAGGGAACGTTGCCCCATTTTACGGCCTTTCTTGCCACAGTTGTTGAGTGAATGGCTGCAGTTGTTACGTTAGTAACATTTAAATGAATCTGGTTCCCCCATGGACTTTGCTTCTCAGGTGGATCTCAAAAAGTAATCATGGGACACTACAACCGTCATAACTATGAGTCAGTTGGTAAGCATCTGATTTTGATCACATGATCGTGGGAATGCTGCTCTTGTCAGCCCTTGGAAGCCATCAATTTCTTCAGAGCTTCGGGGCTGCCACATTTTGGTTGACAGCCGTTGGTGGTTGACAGCAGTGGTTGTTAAGCGTGAAAAGCGTTCAACATCCACACTCACACTTCAGGAAATACTCATTTAAAGAAACCTTGATGAACTTTCTTGAAAATGTCTTCCTTTTCTGCTGTCCCAAATGGTTTTTTTTTTTTTCAAAAGGCAACTGGGCTTCGTTTTTCCTTGAAGACATTTCGCTTCTCATCCAAGAAGCTTCTTCGGTTCTGATTGGATGATGGAGAATCCCGATTACGACCCCACCTCTCTTATGTTTACAACACAAGTCCTTTCAGCTCAGTGGTGGGTTGCTTCCGGTTCGCAAGAACCAGTAGTAAAAATTTGTAGTAGTTCGGAGAACCGGTAACAACATTGGCTGGCCACGCCCCCGAACTGGTCCCCGGCCCAGTTGCCGCTCGCTTACCCCGCCCACCTCATCAGAGGCTTTTTTTTTTACTTTTAAAAGCATTTTTTCTACAACCTCTTCTGCCGAAAAAATGCTTTTAAAAGTTTTTTTTTTAAAAAAAAAGCCTCTGATGATCCCACAGCTCAGTTGGGATCATCAGAGGCTTTTCAAAGCATTTTTTTCTACAACCTTTTCGGCCGAAGCGGCTGTAGAAAAAAAAATGCTTTGAAAAGCCTCTGACGATCCCAGCTGAGTTGCCTGATCATCAGAGGCTTCTAAAAGCATTTTTTTCTGCACGTTGTAGAAAAAATGCTTTTAAAAGTAAAAAAAAAAAAAAAAAAGTTGGCCACACCCACCCAGTCACATTACCCACCCACCCCAAGCCACACCCACAAAATAAGCCACACCCACAGAACCGGTAGTAAACAAATTTAGAACCCACTCCTGATTCAGCCGCTCCAAGAAGGTTCCACACTCATTTGCACGATTCAGTGACCCTGAGGGTACTTGGGAAAAACCTCCCAAGTGGCCTCAACAACTCTCAGAGAGATTACTAATGACCAGATGACTGCAAGGAATATAGATCCTTCCATTCTCCACCATTCAGTCCGAATTGAAGAAGCTTCTTGGGTGAGAAGTGAAAGGTCTTCAAGGAAAAACAAAGGAAGTCCATTTGCCTTTTGAAAAAAAGCACCTTTGGGACAACTGTGACCTGGATGACTGAGAATCCCCATAGATGTTCCTTTTTTACTCGAGGCCAAACCTACCTTATTGTTGATTTACTAAGCATTCACTAGGAGGAATGTACCTCTGACATGTAAACTTACTTTTTAAAAAAATTTTCTCCCCCCAATTAGAAAGCACCGAGTCACAGACGGAAACCTGCACAACGTATAGCAAGGTAAATCACAAAGAGGAGATTCTTTGAACAGCCCTCACCTTTAGAGGTGTTTTACCTGTTTTTTTGTCCAGGTTTAATAGGAAGGGTGCTGAAAAAGACCGTTTTTCCATGGGGTCTCAGAAGAATCTGGGGTTGATTGATGCAGGGGTGAAATCCAGCAGGTTCTGACAGGTTCTGGAGAACCGGTAGCGGAAAATTTGAGTAGTTCGGAGAACCGGCAAATACCATCTCTGGCTGGATTTTGCAGTATCCTTCCCCCAGGAGTGGAGAGGGAATGGGGATTTTGCAATATCCGTCACCTGGAGTGGGGAGGGAATGGGGATTTTACAATATCCTTCCCCCAGGAGTGGAGAGGGAATGGGGATTTTGCAGTATCCGTCACCTGGAGTGGGGAGGGAATGGGGATTTTACAATATCCTTCCCCCAGGAGTGGAGAGGGAATGGGGATTTTGCAGTATCCGTCACCTGGAGTGGGGAGGAAATGGGGATTTTGCAGTATCCTTCCACCTGGAGTGGGGTGGGAAGGGAGATTTTGCAGTATCCTTCCCTGAGGAGTGGGGAGGGAATGGGAATTTTGCAGTATCCGTCACCTGGAGTGGGGGAGGAAATGGGGATTTTGCAGTATCCTTCCTCTGGAGTGGGGAGGGAATGGGGATTTTGCAGTATCCTTCCCCTGCCACGCCCACCAAGCCACACCACACCCACCAAGCCACGCCCACAGATCCGGTAGTTAAACATTTTGAATTTCACCACTGGGTTGATGGATTCATACCAGAACACAGCTTACTTTGAGATATTTGTAGTTTTAAGTTTCCAGGAAGGTCCAAGAAAGAGCAGGCTTAGCCAGAAACGAGGCCCCTGCAATAAAGACAGCTCTTGGGTCACCACTGAGGGATGTTAGCAGTTCTTCCAAAATGGTCCCTGAATTCTGAAAATGTGATGCACCGCAGAACCTTTTTTGCTCTTTGTTTTTAAATAAGGATATTCACGGTGGGCTTCCTTCTTTTAATTTTCTTTTTTCTTGTAGTGGGATAATATTCAAGAGCTTCTTGGGCATCCTGTGGAAAAACCTGTAGTTCTTCACAGGTAAAAAAAAAATAATTAAAAAATGATTTCCTCTGGGAAGAAATAGCATGCTTTGCTAGCCAGATTTGAATTAGGAGTAGAAATATAAGAACAAATGGGAAGAAACAAAAATTGTGGAAAGGAAATTGGGTACACGTTTATGTCTAATGTAAACGAAACAATTAGAATAATATAATACATTATAGTGGTATATACTGTATATGATATATTAGAAATATATGCATAAAAGATATACTAGGCTAAGAGAAAGAAAATGTATAAGTATGGATTACCGACGCAAAACTGTTGAAAAGAAGAAACTATTAATATTTCTTTTTGGGTTTTTTTAAAAAACTGTTTAATAAAAATATTTTAAAAATAAAAAATAAAAAAAATAAAACGCAGCTCCAAAAATGATTTTGATGAGCTGAGAGGGGATAGATTCCAGATTAGATTAGAACTGTTGTAGAATTCTGCTCAGTACTCATTTGTGTCATGCAAAACTCGCTGTCAGAATAGAATGCAGAATAGAGCTGGAGAGGACTTGAAGTCTTCTAGTCCAACTCCCTGTTCAAGCAGGAGACCTTATACTATTCCAGACAAATGGCTGCCCAGTCTCTTCTTAAAAGCCTCCAGTGATCGAGCATCCAGAACTTCTGAAGGCAAGCCGTCCTACTGATTAACTGTCAGGAAATTTCTCCTTAGTTCTAGGTTGCTTCTCTCCTTGATTAGTTTCCATCCATTGCTTCTTGTCCTGCCCTCAGGGGCTTTGGAGAATAGGTGGACCCCCTCTTCTTTGTGGCAGCCCCTCAAAACTGGAACACTGCTATCATGTCACCCCTAGTCCTTCTTTTCTCTAGACTAACCATACCTAATTCCTGCAACTGTTCTTCAACCGTTCTACAACCATTGTTGGTTGGTTATAGAGAGAAGTACACGTAGTCCTCAAATTCTGATTATAATGGAACCTGCCCACCACAGTCATAACTAGCCATAGCAATAGCACTTAGACTTATATACCGCTTCACAGTGCTTTACACTTCTCTCTGGGTCAGCTGGTTAGGATTGAACTGTTGACAGTCGGCAGAGTCAGCCTGCAATACTGCATTCTAACCACTGCCAACGATGGATGGATGGAAAGATGGAAGGAAGGAAGGAAGGAAGGAAGGAAGGAAGGAAGGAAGGAAGGAAGGAAGGAAGGAAGGAAGGGCAGTAACAGTAACACTTAGACTTATATACCGCTTCACAGTGCTTTACAGCCCTCTCTAAGCGGTATACAGAGTCAGTCTCTTGCCCTCAACAATCTGGGTTCTCATTTTACCCACCTCAGAAGGATGGAAGGCTGAGTCAATCTTGAGCTGGGTCAAGATCAAACTGCTGGCAGTGGGCAGAGTTAGCTTGCAATACTGCATTCTAACCACTGTGCATCATGGATGGATGGATGGATGGATGGATGGATGGATGGATGGATGGAAGGAAGGAAGGAAGGAAGGAAGGAAGGAAGGGCAATAGCACTTAGACTTATATACCGCTTCACAGTGCGTTACAGTCCTCTCTAAGCGGTTTACAGAATCAGCATCTTGCTCCCAACAATCTGGGTCCTTATTTTACCCACCTCAGAAGGATGGAAGGCTGAGTCAATCTTGAGCTGGTCAAGATCAAACTGCTGACAGTGGACAGAGTTTGCCTGCAATACTGCATTCTAACCACTGTGCATCATGGATGGATGGATGGATGGATGGTGGATGGATGGATGGAAGGAAGGAAGGAAGGAAGGAAGGAAGGAAGGAAGGAAGGAAGGGCGGGCAATAGCACTTAGACTTATATACTGCTTCACAGTGTGTTACAGCCCTCTCTAAGCGGTTTATAGAATAAGCATCTTGCTCCCAACAATCCGGGTCCTCATTTTACCCACCTCAGAAGGATGGAGGGCTGAGTAAACCTTCAGCCAGTCAGGATCGAAGCCCTGGAAGTCGGTAGAATTAACCTGTAAGACTGCATTCTAACCACTTTAACTTCAAATGGGCCACTAAAGGAATGGTTATAATAATTGCCTGTACTTTTGGAAATCCATCTTCACCATTATTTTGCTTGTTGAATAATGTGCTTCACGACAGAATTTTACGTCTTCCTGGATAATCTGTAGCATAGCAAAGAATGTGAAGCATTCGCATTTTGGGCGAGTTCATAACTTCAGTTCGAGGCCGGCAAAGTATACATTGCGAAATAGCACCTCATGTTGGAAAATTCGACTTTCCCTACAAGGGCGGTTTTTAATTCTAGCTGAGGTTTTGCTTTCATAAAACCGGCAAACGTATCATCTTCTTCTTTCGTTTTTACAGGTCGTCCTCTCCAAACAACACAAATCCATTTGGGTCAACCTTTTGTTTCGGATTACAACGGATGATCTTTGAGGTGAGGAAAGCAACCGTCAGTTGGAGTTGGGTTGGGTTGAAATATGGCTCTACCTTCTTTAAAAACAGATTGATTTATTTATTTATTTATTTATTTATTTATTTATTTATTTATTTATTTATTTATTCATTCATTCATTCATTCATTCATTCATTCATTCATTTAGGTAGGTAGGTAGGTAGGTAGGTAGGTAGGTAGGTAGGTAGGTAGTCCCCCGATGCATATTGGGTATATTTCCAAGTCTGTTGGTTTGTTTTGCTTGCTTAATTCCATGGAGAGACTTCCCAATTCCACAACCATTTACCGTATTTTTCGGAGTATAAGACGCTCCGGACTATAAGACGTACCTACCTTTTTTAGTGAGGAAAACAAGAAAAAGAAATCTGCCTCTGCCTCCCAGCAATTTTGCTTCGTTGCAGCAAACAGCCTGCTTTACTTTCATTTTCGTTTTCAACATAGCTTGATTAGAACAAGAAAAAAGAATCTCAACAATTTACCTCCTTGCAGCAAGCAGCAGAGGCCCGCGCAGCAATAGGCAATGGCAATCCCTGCAGCCTGAAACAACTGAGAGTTGGGAATCAACTTGTGCTAATTAGGTTGTGCTGAAGCTGAAATGGGCTGTTTCTTCTTACTGCTTGCTGCAAGGAGGTAAATTGCTGGGAGGCAGAGGCCAAAGGGTGGGGGCCGGCGGGTGGGCAGGGCTACATTTGGTGTATAAGACGCACCTAAATTTTCACCCCCTTTTAGGGGGGAAAGAGGTGCGTCTTATACTTTGAAAAATACGGTAATATGCTATTATTGTATTGAAATATTTTGCCTTCTTATCCCACCCCTTCCCCAGGGTTAAAGTTGTTCTAAGATGACTTGTTCTATGATGGTATGTGTGAATGGTCAGATAAGAGGCAGCTGAACCCTCAGAAGTAATGTGGGTGGATAAATATCTCAGGAACGACCCTCCCTAGTTTCCTTGTCTGTAAAGGCAACAGGGGGGGGGAAACTTACTCTCAGACTTGCAAGAGTTTGTTAATATAATGTTGCAATAAAGTAGAATTACAGGTAGTCTTGTGGGACGCCGGTGGCTAAGACGCTGAGCTTGTCGATCAAAAGGTCGTAAATTCAGGAGGACCTGTAGTCTATCAGTATACGCCACCAATCCTATTAATGGTTTCAGTTATTACCTTACCCTATTCTCAAAGGGACGTGGTGGCTCAGTGGCTAAGACGCTGAGCTTGTCGATCAGAAAGGTCGGCAGTTCAGCGGTTCGAATCCCTAGTGCCGTGTAACGGGGTGAGCTCCCGTTACTTGTCCCAGCTTCTGCCAACCTAGCAGTTCGTTAAAACAAGGATCATTGAGAAAGTCCCAGGTCATACGAATGTTCATTTGCAGCCTTCCCTGCCATCTTCTCACAAGCGTCTCACAAGCTTGGAAGCAGCTCAGCAGGCAAGTGAGCGTCTGCTGTTGGGTGGGAGAGGGTGTGAGTGGGTGGCCCAAGAGGGGCAGTTTGAGTGTGGTGGGGCCGAGGGTCGCCACTGCTGACGGGTGAAGACCTGGAGCAATTTAGCCGATCCATTTGCAACCTTCCTGGATGTGTTTCCTTTTGAGTGGCTTGTGAGAAGACGGCAGGGAATGTCAGGGCGTTGATTAATCCCATTCTGCCTCTGGGAAATTGCATCTTGATTAAGAGGAGCGAATCGTGGCCTTTCCTTGCAAGCATACTTTAAGAAAACAAACCCGAAGAAATATCTTCTAAGAAAACTCATTTATTTGTTATAAAGAAAATAAAACATCTCACTAGCTAAATTAATTACATTTTGGCAAACGTTCCTGCTGGATCTCCTGGCAGGAGAACCTCTTGGCAGGAGAACAAAGAAAGTTAGAAGAAGGAGTGAAGGAATGTGTGATGTGTGGACAAGCGCAGTTAGCTTAGAGATAAGAATTCTTGGCAAGCTACGGAAAGTCTTATAGTTCAAAAATAATAGAGCTCATCTGGTAAATAAAAAAACGCAGTGACAGGGAAGGCTGCAAATAACGTTCCCAAGAAAACAAGCAAGCTCAGAGAGCACCAAGGAGCCCTCATTCTAACCCTGAGCTACAAATATTCTCCTTTATTGGAACATTCATGTGACCATGAGACCCTGGAACCATTATGAGCTGGTTGTCAAAAGGCCAGATTGCAATCATGTGGCCTCAGGGATGCTGAGACAGCCAGAACTTCAAGGATCTGATATAAGTGCCACTTCGTTGTGGCCTGTCGGCCGCCAGCACCTCCAGCACCGGAATCAGAGGAGGAGGAGGCATATGGGAGTCAGGGCCCGCATCAAGACAACCTGAGAGCTCCGAGTGGGGAGAGGGCATGGAGTTGGCAGAGAGAGAGAGACAGAGGCGGAGCCTGGGCCGTCCATCAGCCCTCAGATGGAGAGTCAACAGCCCCCAGGTCTGGAGGTAGCTGATGAGGAAGAGGAGGAACAGCTGGGTCCAGTGCCTGACGCGCAGATGCATAGAAAGCAGAGGAGAGGAGAGCAGTGGAAATCCATGGGCCGGTCCTCAGGACAGAAGAGCTGCTAGCGAAGCCCCATCCTAGCTCTGGGAATAAAAGGCAGGGGGCGGAAATGAATAGGTGTGACAGACAAACTATTCATCTCCCTGACAGACAGAGTTGTTAGCCTGCGTTGAGTGAGAAACTTTTTGCTGGGGCTGCTGGTGCTCCTAGTAAAGGAACCATTAATTTAACTTCAGAGGGGTTGCCGTGTTTGGGGAGCTGAGTCAGAACACACTTGTTCAGCCCCATCGCAACTTCAAACAGTCCCTGAACGAATGAACGTTAATTGAGGACTGCCTGTAGTTCATCCGGGCAAACTTCCTGTCTGGATGAGCTCACATGACTGACGTCCCTTTCCGTGGGATGAGCTGAGCCAGCCCTTCCCTGAGCCTCCTGGGCTGACCTTCAGGTAATGCATCCTCTTGCTCCCCATCGCTTGGGCTGCCGTTCTGAATCTGTTGGCCATCTCTTATCCGCAGGTGATGCAGAATAATCACATTGCGTCCGTCACGCTCTACGGCCCGGCCCGGCCCACCATCCAGACCAAGATTTTGGACCTTCCCCAGTGAGCAATACCCCGATTGAACATAACGCTACACGGTTTAGTTCAGCGTGCCTTGAGTTGCTGCCGCTTATCATACGGAAAAGCACGGAACGGTGGAGAGAGCATGTGTGGGTGTGGGTGTTTATGGTTGTGACACACACAGAGAGAGAGAGAGAGTGTGTGTGTGTGTACAAGAAAGCTTGGCCCTCGTCATGTGTGGATGGCACAGGCTGGAAATCCTCTGGAGCTGAACCTTGCAGGACTTGGAGCCAGTGGCAGAGGCACACCACACACACACAGACACACACACACACAACTAGCTGGCACTACCATTAATCCTCTCTTCTCGCTTGGCCCTTGGAAGATACGGTCTAAATGCAAAAGAGTTTGTCTTTGTAGAGCTTGGACAGAGGAGGAGCTTTCAGAAAGAGCTCAGCAAGGAACTGCACATCTTAGAAGCACAAGTTTCTCATTCTTGAGAAAGCAGGTCTCTTTCTATATATATATACATATATACATATATATATATATATATATATATATATATATGTTTTCTTTCCTTTTCGTAGGCTTTATGTGTATTTCTCTTTAGCCAGGTTCTTCCTACGTAACCCAAGATTTTTATGCAGCCCTAGTTCAGTGAAATCCCAATCCACTCGTTTCTAAGCTTTTTTTTCTGGCAGCCAGCAAACACTCTGCTACCCATTGGGAGGATACATGGGATGAGGGTGTGGCTAACTGATGAGGACTTATAAGTCCGAAATAGATCTATCTTAGTCTCCTTAGTCTCCCAATGGGCAGCAGAGTGTTTGCTGGCTGCCAGAAAAGAAAAAAAAGCCTAGAAACGAGTGGATTGTGATTTCACTGAACTAGGGCTGCATAAAAATCTTGGTTTATGTAGGAAGAACCTGGCTAAAGATATATATATATATATATTTGTTTTCTGAGGTTTTCGCGGGTGTTTGTATGTAGGCCTTTGGTCATTCGGGTTTTCTCCCACATAAAATTACGCGGGAGAAAACCCGAATAACCAAAGACCATATATATGTATGTATGTATACGTATTTTTCCCCTTTCTTTCCCAGCTGTGTTTGCGTTCCGCGTATTGAGAGTCACGTTTCTGTGTTTTATTTTGCTTCTGGAAGTGGGGGGGAAGAGGAATAAGACAAGGATATGGGTGGAGACAGACTCACACAGAGCTCATGTATAGGTGTATATATGAAATTAAGTATATGGGTTTTTCGGTAGCTTGGGATATCCCACCAGGCTCAACATGTCCATAATTTCAGACATCCGATGTTGGAGACAAGGCACAAAGCAACCTAAAGACTCAGTGGTCATATATATGTGTACATATATATATATATATTTGCACTACATACACTTTAATTACTTGATAAGACCTTTTGAATTTTACAGAGTGCTGGGCGTGAGTGGAGACTGGGTTAAGTGTGATTTTGGGTTTTTTGGGGTTGTTTTTTTTTGCCCCCCCCAAAACAGGGGGGGGGGGGGGGGGGAATATCCGATGCAATTTTTCTGCACTAACGTTTACTTGATGCAAATGAAACAATTTTGTCTCCTGCCACATTCGGTGAACTAAACCCCAGTTTCTTCCGGGGGGGGGGAGTTTAGAGAAGGAGGAGCAAAAACTCGAGTTAGGTGATTCCTACGAATTATGATGCTTTTTAGGAAGAGTTTAGATATGTCATTTTGTTTTTTCTCCTTCGTATGCAAAACAGATAACTTAATATGCATTCTCTCGGGAAGAGTGAGGCGGCTACCTTAACTGTCCGCAGGGTGACATGTGTCTGATTTAGACCGTCTTGAATTCCTCTTCCTTGTCCTGTAAACGAGGTTAGCGGGAGGGAGGGGGGCGGGGAATTGGGATGATTCGAACCAGGTTTCCTTTTTTTCCTCACATATATCCTGCCGAGATGAAATGGAAAACATGTCGCCTTAAGGAATTTTCCCCAATAACTTTTTGAAGTGCATCAACCCTGGAGAAGAAAATTCTGAGTTGTCTTATTTGGAGCACAGCAGAATGAGAGAGAACTGCTTCTTTCTCTCTCTTTTTAGTTTAATGCCAAAATTTTAGCCAAAGAGATCCTTAATCTAGTTTCAACATTTCTACGTGTATAGATAGAAATAGATAGGAACAGAGATAAAGTGTTGGGCAGGTCCACCTCCTCCATCCGTAGCAGGGAAAAAATAATAATAATAATTCAGTGACTTCTAGGTAAAGAAAAGTTATTTAAAAAGCTTGTTATTTCAAGAAGATTTTAAGGGACGCATGTGATTCTTTTGCTGCTTTTTATCTAAAAGAAAAAAAAATGATAAATGGTCTCGCTTTTCTTTCTATCGTAACCCTTTTTACAACAGCGGAGAGAATTTTTTTAAAAAAGACTGCATAGAGAGAAGTTTATAATTTTATCCCATTTTTTTAATATTTTGGTGTAGCAACTGGTGATATAAATTATAGATGATTTTTGTGAGAGTTTTAAAACTGTGTGTAAATACAGATCTTTGTAAATACCAAAAACAAAAAAAAACATTTTGTAATTTTAATTCTGTGTACAGAATTAAAGCATGTGTATAAATTTATCCACAAATGAGGAATAGGGAGTTTCAGAGTGTTAAAAAAAGTTACGAATCCTGGACCGGTAGCAGGATAAATGTTGTGTGAGTTTGCTGTAAATTTGTATGTGTGCGTGTGTGTTTGTGTCCCTCCTTTTTGTCATTCAGTCCTCTATACACTGTTGGACTAATAAATAAATCAATAAATCAAGGAAGCCCCCATTGGGCTAACGGGAAGAAATGGTTTAGGATTTACCTTTATTCTTAAATGTTTCTCCAAATCCTGTTTTTCCTTGGACAGTTGCTTGCTGAGAAATTTTCTTTTCTTATCCCGTGAATTTGTGTTTTCATAATTCTCCTGTAAATTCTCTGAAATGCGTTAACATCTAAGCATGTACCTTAAAAGGACAAATAAACAAGACTCAGTTGCTGGGTTTAGCTACGGTGGCTGAATATATATATGTACTTTGCAATAAAATGAGTCGGTCTTGGATTTATCTTCTCATCCAGATCTTGCAGAAGGTGGTGAAACCTTTCAGAGTTACCTTGCAAAGTAGATTACCATATTTTTCGGACTATAAGACGCACCGGAGTATAAGACACACCAAGATTTCGAAGAGGTAAACAAGGAAAACATGGGGCCTGCAGGGGGTTTGGTCGGCCTGCAGAGTGCTCCTGGGGGCTGGGGAGGGCAAAAACGCCCCCATTTTCCCAAAAAACGGGCCCGTTTTTGGCCTCCCAAACTCCCCACGTGTTGCATTTTTGCCCTCCCCAACCCCCAGGAATACTCTGCAGGCCTCCCAAATCCTCTGCAGGCCCCGTTTGTGTGAAAAACGGGCCTGTTTTTGTTGAAAACGGGACGCGCGGGGCAGGGTTTTGGGAGGCCAGAAATGGCTCTATTCAGTGTATAAGACGCACCAACATTTCCACCCTCTTTTGGGGAGGTGGGGAAAGTGCGTCTTATACTCCGAAAAGTAAGTTGTAAGAGATTTTGGGTGAGTAATCTTTGTGCAGTGCTTAAAGGTAAGTTTCTTTAAGGCCAGGAATCCATTCTGTAAGCTCGTGTGTGTGCTCTACAGGTAGTCCTTGATTCACAACTTTTCATTTAGCCTACCAAGTAAATCACAATTCCAGTATGTCCAATCTCCCTCCCTGCCTCTCTCCCTCTGTGTCTCTCTCTGTCTCTTTCTCCATCTCTGCCTCTCTCTCTCTTGTCTCTCTCTCTCCCTCCCTCTGTGTGTCTCTCTCTGTCTCTTTCTCCATCTCTCTGTCTCTTTCTCTCTCTCTGTCTCTCCTTCTCTCTCTCTCTCTCCTTCTCCCTCTGTCTCTCTCTCTGTCTCTTTCTCCCTCTCTGCCTCTCTCTCTCTGTGTCTCTCTCTGTCTCTTTCTCCCTCTCTGCCTCTCTCTCTCTCTCTGTCTCTTTCTCCCTCTCTGCCTCTCTCTCTCTGTCTCTTTCTCCCTCTCTGCCTCTCTGCCTCTCTCTCTGTCTCTTTCTCCCTCTCTGCCTCTCTCTCTGTCTGTCTCTGTCTCTGTCTCTTTCTCCCTCTCTGCCTCTCTCTCTCTCTGTGCCTCTCTCTCTCTCTCTATCTCTTTCTTCCTTTCTGCCTCTCTCTCTATATATATATGTCTCTGTCTCTCTCTCACACACACACACATGGTGAGCTCCAAGTTCCCTTCCAGCCCTATGATTCTGTATTCTCACCGTACCTTCCTAAGTTACCACCGTATACTGAATCCTAACCATAGCTTGTTTGTTTTGGTGCACAGATTCATAGCAACCAGGTTGTGTGAACTGGATATAAGTATTTACAGTCATAAAGATTATAAAATTATTGCTTTCTTGCACATACTGCCATTTTTCTCCCTCCTTAAGTACAGTAGTTGGTTAGGCTAGCCGTGAAAAGAGTAAAATGTTTTTCTCTTTCTCTAATATTTATTTCTCTGGACAAATGTTCTCTATCAGCACAACATAATAATAATCTTGTCTGTTCTTTCTTAATTTGAAACAGATTCCCCCCCCCCCCGACCCTGCGGTAAAATCATCAAATGATGTGATCTGACTTGCAAATGTTGATTTTAACTTTCAGACTTCTTTCCCCACAAAATACTGGTGAAATCAGGTTTTCCAAGGCTAACTTGGAAACTTCTTTTAAAGTTTTTTCCCCTTTTTGTTATGTGCAAATCAAAGCAAAAAATCATATTCCTTAAAGGAATCTGATCAGAGGGATCTGGAAAATAAACGGAGCGTGATGATTTTTTCCACTGTAATTTAATTTTCCAAAGTTTTTTTTTTCTGACTCACAAACACAGAAACAGTAAATTTGAACAGTGTCTATTAGATCATTTAAAAAAAAAGCTCCCGTCTTCAGGAGCAGATTCAGGAAGGAAAAAAGATAATTAGTTTTCTTCAGTTGTATGCTGCCAACCAACAACTTCATCATAAATTTAAAATAATCTATAAAAAAAAGAAGAAAAGGAAACCACAATATATTAAAATGCCAATTAAAAAAATTAAATCAGTTTGGCTAGTCTAAGGAAAGGAAGAATTAGGGGTGACAGGATAGCAGGATTCCAGTATTTGAGGGGCTGCCACAAAGAAGAGGGGGTCAAATTATTCTCCAAAGCACCAGAAGGCAAGAGAAGAAGCAACGGATGGAAACTAATCAAGGAGAGAAGCAACCTGGAATTAAGGAGAAACTTCCTAACAGTGAGAATAATTCAATCAGTGGAACAGCTTGCCACCAGAAATTGGGGGTGCTCCATCACTGGAGGCTTTTAAGAAGAGACTGGACAGCCACTTATCTGAAATAGCATAGGTTCTCCTGCTTAGGCAAGACCTTAGAAGACCTCAAAGGTCCCTCCCAGCTCTATTCTATTCAAAGGAGCCTTGGTAGTACAGTGGTCTAAAGCATCCTGTTATTAAGAACAGCTGCCTGCAATTAGTAAGTTCGAATCTCGCCAGGCTCAAGGTTGACTCAGCCTTCCATCCTTTCTAAGTAGGTAAATTGAGGACCCAGTTTGTGGGGGCAATGAGCTGACTTTGTATAAAATATATACAAAAGTATGAAGGCTATTGCTTAGCACAGTGTAAGCCTCTCTGAGTCTCCGGAGAAAGGCGGCATATAAATCAAATTAAAAAAAAAGAAAAAAGTAAGATAGTGAACATCTTTTTCTGGCTGGGCAAAACAAATGGGCCTTAATGGCTTTTCCAAATCCTAAGAGGGCCAGTTTGGTGTAGTGGTTATGACACCAGGCTAGAGACCCGGAGTTCGAATCCCACCTGAGCCACAAAGCCAAGTTGATGCCAATTTCTCCCAAGCCTAGGAAGGGAAGGCAATGGCAAACCACTTCTGAAACCTTGCCAAGAACACTGCAAGGACTAATCCAGGCAGTTGTCAGGAGTCGTGGCTGTTGAAAACTCCTGCAAAGTGATGACTGTAAAACTTTGGTTAAAGTTTTGTTCCATCTGCTGTGCACCATTACCCGGGGGGTGGGGGGGTGGCTCCCCTCAATATGATAAATAACCTCCATTGAAAATGTTGCCCTTGCTGGTGAAATAAATAAGTTCTTGGGGAATTTTGTCTTGCTTTTGCAGCATGCAGAACTGCCCAAGGAAGAACTAGAACTGATCTAGAGCTGGATCTAGAATTGACCACTCTCTTGAAAGCTCAAGGTGCTCAGTTAAAGTAAGGGCTTAGACCATCACCATCGTAAGTGCATAGAGGGCAGTTGTAGGAAGCAAGCTGTCCCTTCCTTCCTTCCTTCCTTCCTTCCTTCCTTCCTTCCTTCCTTTCTTCCTTCCTTCCTTCCTTCCTTCCTTCCCCCCCTCCCAAGTTTTCCTTCCCTCCCCCCTCCTTCCTTCCTTCAATCCCTCCGTCCCAAGTTTTCCTTCCTCCTTCCCTCCTCCTTCCTTCCTTCACTCCCTCCCAAGTTTTCCTTCCTCCTTCCCTCCCTCCCACCCATGTTTTCCTTCCTTCCCAAGTTTTCCTTCCTTCCCCCCTCCTTCCTTCCTTCAATCCCTCCCTCCCAAGTTTTCCTTCCTCCTTCCTTCCTTCACTCCCTCCCAAGTTTTCCTTCCTCCTTCCTTCCTTCACTCCCTCCCAAGTTTTCCTTCCTCCTTCCTTCCCTCCCTCCCTCCCTCTTCCTCCTCTCTCCTCCCATGTTTCTTCTTCCCTCCCCTCCTTCCTTCACTCCCCACTCCCAAGTTTTCCTTCCTCCTTCCCTCCTCCTTCCTTCACTCCCTCCCTCTTAAATTTTCCTTCCTTCCTTCACTCCCTCCCAAGTTTTCTTTCCTCCTTCCCTCCCTCCCACCCATGTTTTCCTTCCTTCCTTCCTTCCTTCCCAAGTTTTCCTTTCTTCCCCCCTCCTTCCTTCCTTCACTCCCTCCCAAGTTTTCCTTCCTCCTTCCTTCCTTCACTCCCTCCCAAGTTTTCCTTCCTCCTTCCCTCCTTCCTTCCCTCCCTCCCACCCATGTTTTCCTTCTTCCCTCCCTCCCTCCTTCCTTCACTCCCCCTCCCAAGTTTTCCTTCCTCCTTCCCTCCTCCTTCCTTCACTCACTCACTCACTTCCAAGTTTTTTTTCCTCCTTCCCTCCCTGCGGCAAAAGATGCCTGTTTAACCCTGGGTCTTTTCCCCAAGCACAGCATTGCAAGCTTACGAAATAAGTTACGTTGGACACTATAAAGTACTACAGATAGTCCTTGACTTACAACAGTTCGTTTAATGACCGTTCAAAGTTATAATGGCATTGAAAAAAATTGACCTATGACCATTTTTCACACAACCACGGCAGAATCAAATTTCAGATGCTTTGACAGTTTGACTCACATTTATGACGGTTGCAGTGTCCCAGGGTCATGTGATCACTTTTTGTGACCCTCTGGCAAGCCAAGTCCATGGGGAAGAAGCCAGGTTCTCTTAACAGCCGTGGTACTAACTTCCCAACTGCAGTGATTCATTTAACAGCCGTGGCAAGGAAAGTCGTGAAATGGGGCAAAACTCACTCAACGATCTCACTTAGCAACACAAACATTGGACTCAATTGTGGCCATATGTCTAGGACTACCTCTACAGTAGCAGCAGGCTCATTGAAAAACAAACCAGCTAGTGTGATAGGTGAAAAAATGTCATCAAACAAGTGCATTTTCCAGATATCCAATTCTGGGCATTTTCTGACGATGGTCTTGCCTTTAAAAGTGTCACCAGAAGGACATCCTATGAAGAAAACTAGTTGGGGAAGAATAGCTTCGAGGAGTTCGAATTACTAGGTGACTTCATGTCTGGCATTGTCTATAAAAGATGAATTAAGATGGTTGCATTTAAATATCTCACCCTAAAAAAAGCCACACTAGATAACCCTCAAGAACATCTTCAACAGAACTGAACCAGATCAGTTGAAGACCTAACATCTGCCTTCACGCAACCTGGTAAGCTTGATTAGAGTTAACCTTGGTTTATTGGTTTGTGGGTTAGAACATGGTTTCTGCTGGAGTGTACCAGGTGGACTCCGAAAAAACGAATAATTCAACATCCTTGTGTAAACCCAGCTATAGTGTCCACCAGCCCTTAGGCACCATAATTTTTGGCAGTGTCTTTAATCGCCTTCTTCCATCGGAAAGCTTTCCTGATTTGCTTGTTCTGGGTGCAAGAGAGCCGTGGGTTGTGGAGGAGATTCCACATTAGCCAGATTTCAGCTATCTTCAGACCATGGACCACCATGAGATCTTTGTAGAAACAAGGATCAAAAGTCTGCAGGTTGGGAGCTGCAGAAGGTTTGATTATTCCGAAAGTCTTGAACCCTTCATGCAAGACGGGCTTCAGGTTGATCCGTTGCAAGCACATGCCCAAGAAGACGTCATCAATTGGGAAGAGTTCCACTTGGGTGCAAGCTTGGGCAAGTTTCTTCAAGGTGCTGATGGATAACAAGAACCCACCACCCCCGGCATAGGATGGATACATACCTAGCCCATACATTGTGTTTGGAATGTAGTACTTGCTTTTTCGGATTCGGATCGGTTGTGCATTGTAGATGATGTCCCCGACGAAGAGGTCCTCGGAAGGATTGCAGCTTTCCAGGAAGTTGACAATGTTCTCCATGTTGACGAAAACATCAGCATCTCCTTTGAATATGAACTTGGTCCTGGAACAAAACTCATCGGCCCAGCTTAGGAAATGTATCTCTTTCAAGGTCAAGTTGAAGAAAGTATCCAGAAAGTCCCACAATAAAATGTCCCGGTACAATTGGCTCTCTTGACGGATCAGAATTTCCCAAGTTGGCAGCGTCGTCTTGTTCTTTGGAACTCCTAGGAGGAAAACTCTTTGGACCTGCATCCCATTCACCAGACCTTCTCTCCCCCATGTTTTGCGTACAATCTCACGGTGGTCGAACTCCTCGACCAGCGATTTTACGGCGACGAGCAAAAAAGGCCTCTCTGAGCTTCTCATGCACTTCTTCGGCTGATTAATGAGAAGGTTGAATTTCCTGTTGTCCTTGTTCCTTAGGTAAAGTCTAAAATCAAAGGTGGAGTGAGTCGGGAGGGCCGGATGGGTGACTTGGTCTTCCTGGCTTTCCAACGTGGCATCTTTCATAGGTGAGATAATTCTAGGCTCCGATGTGTGAATCTCGACATTTGACTCTTTCTGGAAAACAGGAACTTGGAAAACCCTGTGAGTTGCGGTTGATGTCTTCTTCACACCTTCTGCTTTTTCTTCTCTGTGGGACGTGTGGCCCAGCTGGGAATAGAACATGGTGAAAAGAGCTACCACCAGGCAAAGTGTGCAGATAGCATCGCTCCTGAGTTGAACTCTCATCATTTCCAGGAATTTCAAAGAAATATCCAATGTAGCACTAGGGGAAATGTTTGCTGGCGAGGTCCATCTGCAAATACAGACACTGTAGGTTAGTACAAGCTTTGCCACATCATTCAGAATCTCAAAAATGTCCTCTACTCAGGACAGGGATATTAATCATAACTTCATAATAATTCATTAAATGGACTATATATCAGTGGTGGGTGCACGCGCAGCCCCGTTGCAAACTGGTAGTAAAGGTAGATAGAACTCACCCCTGCTTTATATACCCAGAGACTTTGAGCTAAATTAGCAACAATTTTCTATAGATATATATAAAAATGGCTGTATGTGTGTATGTTCCAGCATAACTCTGAAACGCCTTGAGCAATTTCAACCAAATTTGCTACACAGATGACTTACTCTCTGGAAAAAAATACTGGGGGGGAGGGGTAAGACACCCCTAACGCCACTCGGGGTGTGTGTCCTGTTAAGATACAACCTGTTGTGCCTTAAAATGGCTTCTACTGTACTGCCTTAAAGTGGCTTCTACTGTGCAGCATAGTGGAGTTGCCATAGTAACGGCTTCATAGTACTCCACAAGGGGGCTCCCTTTGGTGTGGGGGAAAATCCAACATTAGAAATTACGTTTGGTCAAACGTTTTTAACTAATTTAATTCTCGGCGAAATCAGGGCTCAGGGTGAAGTTGCTCTTCCTGTCTAATACAGGATTGGGATAAATAAATACCCAGGCAACGCCGGGTTATCAGCTAGTAACTTAATAAAGCCTGTTTCATTTTTTAATCACAGTTCAAGTTCATGTTTCAGTTAGAGTTAGACAGTTCATATATCCTCATTTACCTCTCTGAGCATTCAGTGGATAGTAGAGAAAAAAAGCCAGACCAAACTCATCCAATGGTTACTACCACTGTCTGATCATTGGGAAGCAGAACAATACTACTGTTTGCAATTACTGTTTGCAATACTAGCTGCCTGCAATTACTGCGAGTTCAGTTCTCACCAGGCTCAAGGTTGACTCAGCCTTCCATCCTTCCGAGGTGGGTAAAATGAGGACCCGGATTGTGGGGGCAATAAGCTGACTTTGTATAAAATAGAACACCGCTTGGGGGGGCCAAAAGCCCTACTAAGCAGGTATATACAAAAGTATGAAGGTTATTGCTTAAAAGCATTGTAAGCCTCCCTGAGTCTCCGGAGAAGGGCGGCATATAAATTGAACCAATAAATAAATAATAAATAAATAAATAAATTATCCACAGCACTAAATACATGACACCAAAGTGATGTAGAAAACAGTCTTGAGGAACAGGAAGAATAGCCACAACAACACAACAGTCAGATACAGGAAATTCTTGAACTACAACAGTAATGAAGCAGGGGTGAAATGCTCCCGGTTTGGACCGGATCGCCCGATCCGGTAGCGATGGCGGGTGGTTCGGAGAACCGGTAGCAAAAATCCCTGCGCCCCCCCACCACCACCATGCCCAGCTAAGCCGCACAATCATCAGAGACTTTTTTTTTTTTACTTTTAAAAGCATTTTTTCTACAACCTCTTCCGACGAAAAAATGCTTTTAAAAGTAAAAAAAAAAGTTCTGATGATCGCGCAGTTCAGCTGGGATCCTCAGAGGCTTTTCAAAGCATTTTTTTCTGCAACCTCTTGGCCGAAGAGGTGGTAAAAAAAAAATGCTTTGAAAAGTCTCTGACGATCCCAGCTGAGTTGCCTGATCGGCAGAGAGGCTTTTCAAAGCATTAGAAAAAAATGCTTTGAAAAATTAAAAAAAAAAAAAAAGTTGGCCACGCCCACCCCAGTCACATTACCCAACCACCACCAAGCCACGCCCACAGAACCGGTAGTAACAAATTTTACATTTCACCCCTGTAATGAAGCCTGTCTTAACACATGAGCAAGTCATTAAGCAAGTGTGGTACTGACAAGTGTGAACGTGTCATAAATGCAAACACTGCAGTAGTTAAGCAAACCCATTGCATCCTGTGAGTAGCGTGATGCAAAGGGCAAAGACATTTTATGAGGTCCCTTGCCAAGCAAGAGAGCAAGTGCCTTGATTAAAGACAGCTGGCTGCAGCCTGATATAAAAAAATGGCCCTGATCCATGGATCCTTCGTTGGGATCAACTGTCTGATTCCTGCTTCTTGCAAGATGTTCATGAGGATTCGGCTTGGGAAATTTTGACCGCTGGGCTGTCCTGACAGTCCCTGATCTGGATCTTGAAATCTTGGATTAAATTTGGACTGTTCTTCTGCGCACTCCTGTCAAAAGCAAGTCATTCAGGCAAGCTTCTTCCGGAGACTCTCTTTTGGCTAGCATTCCTTCTCTGCAGTGATTTCCTTGACCTTGAGTGAACTGCTAATTTCCATAGCAATTTTGTGTGTGAGTGTGTAATTGAAACCAAAAAGAGTACAGAGCCACTTCTGTACCTTAATGTCTACATCCCATTGGCCTCTCTGGTTGCTTTTAAGAACAATCTTCAAGAGAGGAGCAGCTTTCACTCCTCAGAATTGGATCTGAGGAGGTTACAGATTAACAGAGTTGGAAGGGAACTTGGAGGTCATCTAGTCCAACCCCCCACCCAAGCAGGAGACCCTACACCATTTCTGACAGATGGCAGTCCAGTCTCTTCTTGCAAGCTTCCAGGGATGAAGCTCCCACAACTTCTGAAGGCAACTTCTGTTCCATGGGTTGATTGTTCTCACTGTCAGAAAGTTCCCCCTTATTTCTAGGTTGAATCTCTCCTTGTTCAGTTTCCACCCATTGTTCCTGATTCTAGGTTCCTGACTCCAAAAGGTTTTTTGGCAGAAAGATGGCGCTGAGTTCCTGGTTGATGCTATCACCATCCCATGACTCAGAAGCCAAAAAAGGAAAGTCAGAATCTGCTTTGTCTGAACTGGATTGAGAAGTTATCGTTCCTCAAGCCTCATTTATCTCTGAATGTCTTGGTGGACTTCTTCTTCTGAGAGTTGAAGTCCCCACATCTTTTTTTTTTCGGGGTAAAGTTTTTTTTTTTTTTTTTTTAAACATACATCAATATCATCAATATCCTTGCATGGACAGTGTGGCATCTTGAGTGTCATTCATTTTGATACAAAACCAATATTAATACAAGTAGTACTTAGCTGCCAGCTGCCTGCAATTACTGCGAGTTCAAATCTCACCAGGCTCAAGGTTGACTCAGCCTTCCATCCTTTCGAGGTAGGTAAAATGAGGACCCGGTTTGTGGGGGCAATAAGCTGACTATGTATAAAAAAAAGAACACCGTTTGGGGGGGCCCCGAAAGCCCTACTAAGCAGGTATATACAAAAGTATGAAGGCTATTGCTTAATACATTGTAAGCCGCCCTGAGTCTCTGGAAAAGGGTGGCATATAAATCGAACCAATAAATAAGTAAGTAAGTAAGTAAGTAAGTAAGTAAGTAAGTAAGTAAATAAAAATTACTACATTGGTCAAACTTACTTGATCTAATATTATACATATTCATATCAGCACATATTCCTTCGTTTTTCAATTATTCAATATTCGCTACATCCTTCTAATAGTCATAACATTATTCTTGAGCATATCTGATAACACCATTTTTCAAAATCTAATCTTAGTCTCTAACATTCACTTTAAATGTGTTATGCAAAAATGCGTGTAACAATATTCCCCCTGTTTCTAATTTCTTAATCTTGGGCTGCCTGCATATTAGGCAGTTGTATTAACCTCTGAGCCACAAGTTCTCCTCCCTTTATCAGCTTGAGCCAGGGGAGAGATTAAGTGTTTTTCTGTCGAAGCACCTGGTCTATCCCAATATGGAAGGGAGCATACTGCTTCCCTTCCGCCTTTCAGCTCCAGCCCAGTAGCCCTCAAACAGTCACATTCATGACAAACCATTTTATACCAAATATATACTGCTCAAAAAAATAAAGGGAACACAAGCAGAAGACATCCGAGATCTGAATGAATGAAATAGCCTTATTAAATACTTTGTTCGTTACATAAAAATAAAGGGAGGCCAGTATAGATCTATTTCAAGCTATTTAGCTCTCATCAGCTAGCCAAATCCTTACTCGGATACAAACTTGGGTTTGAATCCAAGTAGGGGTATGGCTAGGTAATGAGAGCTAAATAGCTTGAAATAGATCTATACTGGCCTCCCTTTATTTCTTTATCAGCAAATATAAATTTGGTATAAAATGGTTTGTCGTGAATGTGACTGCTTGAAGGCTCCTGGATTGGAGCTGAAAGGCGAAAGGGAAGCAAGATGCTCTCTCCCACATGTTGGGGTAGACAAGGAGCTTTGACTCTTGGAAGTTTCACGGCTTCTCTTTTTAACTTGCCTCTCATACTCCTCCCTTGGGTCTTTATCTACATCCTTTGTTTTCAACCCAACCATTATTTCCATTTCCACTATTTTTTGCTGCCAATCCACCCACATCTTAAAGTTGCAAGTTTGAGGAACGCTGGCCCTGAAGGATTTCACATTCCCATTTCAAGAAAGCATTTCTTTGGATTGACTGGGATTTCCATATAGTGGTCGTGGGAATTAAAGATGGAGACTAGGACTGTACAGTTGGAAGTCCTGTTCTTTCTAAAATATATCACAAGGGCGTAAAAAAGCTGCATAGATTTAATCATGGAGTTGCAGCTGCCATCTTGATTTTTTTTTTACCTGCTCATAGTAGATGTTCCTACTACCGTGCTTTTTTATTTCAAAACCAGTGTTTGTTTTTAAGGTGTGTAGCAATATAAAAAAAATTGATACAGGCTAGAAGTGGTTTTTCACCCTGCATAGATTTTAATTCTGGATCCTGTAGGGCTGATCACTATCCTGTGCCAAATTGTAATTTTTAATGTGACAGAAGAGGGAGAAATAATGACTCACTAGCTGTTGAATAATCGTGTCAATTTACCAAAATAAATATAATTTAAATTTGGTCAAGGTTTTGCTTAGGCTTTTAGAAACTGGAAACACTTTAGGAAAACAAAGAATAAATTGTATTCTGGCCTTGCTTCTTTTCTTTTCCTTTGTTGTTTCTGGCATACTCAACAGAACTCAATTTTAATCTTCATT